GTTTATAGCTCTTGTAGATTTTTCGGCAGGCATTTCAATCAATGGACGCGGGCATTTCAATTGATAAAAAAAATTATTTTATAGTAGTAGTAGGCTGTTTTTGCAATTTTCGCCACCGCTACTGACCTCTAAAACTCCTATAGTTTGCAATCATATTAATTTCATTTATTTTGTCAATAACATTGCAACTTTTTGATTTGTGCTCCATCGTCTTCATCATATCAGTTCTTCATTGTTATTACCTAGCATGATTTGAACTAGGTTTTCTTTGTCAGAGGATCTGGATTATTTTTACAAACCACAATTTAGTGAAGATTACACGAGAAATAGTTTTTGGGTATATTTCTCAGCTGTAAAAGCTCAATTATGTTTTGATTATAAGGCGTATACCAGTATGAATACAGCTAACAAAAAATAATATGTACATTTATTGACCATTTATTGCACTAACAGTTAAAAAACTATACGAACAACACGAATCTTCATTGAATTTGGTTCATGATAACAATAAAATGAATCAAGTTAAGAAAGTCCTACTTTCTGGCGATGTTTCAAATTCCCAGAGTCATCAATTATATCGTGGTATGAAATCTTGATAATTAGTTCTGACTCTATATAGTATGATGCGAATGTATGGAATAAATTCATTTCAAAACAAGACGACTTCCGAAAAAAATTCAAAAACTAGAGTTCAGAACTTTTTTTATTGTGTATTTTTTCAACTATTAGACGACCCTTCGATGTTCAATTTTTAGTAGCAGACCTCTGCAAGATTCAGTTAACCAAATGATAATCCATTTTAATTGCAATATTCTTATGCAAAATTTTGACTGTTGGATAGACGATCAGTAGACCTTTCAAACGAGGTGTCACATGACCCCTGCTTGTATTTGAAAAAATCGTCCATTTCGTCATTACTTCTACACCAGTGACGTAACATCTCTCATATGAATGTCATGAGATGAGGCTTCAAAAATTAAAACTCACGTGTTTTTGGAATTTCTTCAAATGTCGCCCATTTCTGAAATAATGAATTTATTCCATACATTTGCATCATACTTATACAAAAGAGCTAAGGCGTTCAGCTTATTCTTGACTCAAGATCGATTGTAAATATAGTTTTTCACCTTGCAAGTATAGTTATTTATTATACAAGGGAAAAAAGTAGTAGATTTTAGCTCCAGGTTGTGTTGTCTCCCGACGCGTAGCGGAGGGAGACAAAAAACCGTGAGCTAAAATCTAATATTTTTCCCGTGTATAATACACTATTTTTTTCTGTGACAGAAGGAAGGAAGAATCAATATTGAGAAGATATTACATTATTTCGAAATCTGAAAATTATCTACGTGAATTTTCAAGTTTTCAACAGTAGGGACACCTGCGTTTTATAGGCATCTTTATCATTCTTTTGAAGTAATCAAATATCTGATGTCACTTCTGTCAATTCAATTCTGTGATTTGATTTTAAAAAATTGCGAATTCAGTAGTTGTTTAGTAATATACGAAACCGCGAAGTCGAATGGAAGATAAAAGGACTTGCAGTTCTTTCTCGGAGACGGTATTATTGACTCATTTTTCGGAACTACAGCACAACAAAAGCCATTAACAGAGTATATATATATGTGATATACATCCGGGAAAAAAGTACTAACTTTTTTCCCACGGGAAAAAAGTAATTTATGAAAAGTGACATTTTATAACCTGCCAACAGAGATGAAATGCCAAACATTTTTCCCGTCACAGAAAAAAATACATTTTCAGACGCCTCTGATTATAAATTCTATTCCTAATGCGTTTAAGCGCTTGATATGTTGGTAAAAAAGAGTACTCACTTTTTTCGCGGGAAGGAAGTAATTTTATGAAAAGTTACATTTTGTCACCTGTCAACATAGATGAAATGTCAAACTTTTTTCCCGTCACAGAAAAATACATATTTTTTGACGTCATAGGTTCATTTCATTATCCTGAAATTTCTTTAGGATAAAATAAATCTCCTCAATTCCTGACATGGTATATCTACTTATGAATAAAAATCGAGATGACAAGAGTCCAGACAAGAACTGATATGTCAATAAAAACGTCAAGACAATATTTTTCGAAATTTCATGCCTTTTTTTCAAAACAAGACAAGAAATTGTTATCAAGACAAGAATTCTTGTCTTGGCGAAATATAAATTTGTGACTTGGCAACGTACAACAGAAATCGCGATTCGCGAGGGAGCACGTATAAGTATATATGACTGAGACGGTGTTTGCAATAAACAGTTGAAAATCGGAATATAAGATTCTTGTTATCTATTTTATTCTGATGATGTCGCTGTACAAATTCTCTTTAAAACGGAAATATAAACTCACTCATCAGAATTTTATTAAACACTATCAAAAATAGACCTACTTACAATATTTCTGTATTTGTTCTCGTAAGTATAAGTGATTGTTGTTATTTGGTACTATGGCCTTTAAAAAGGTGAGGATATATCAGCGCCTCTTACGGATTTTCTATGAACAAGAATTTTATAGATGTCTTCAGTTTTTTTCGTAGAATTTCACATTCACACTTCCCATTCAGCCTCCCTTGTTGAAAGGAGCACGAGCCGTCACTGTTGAGAAGCACTGCATGTAAAGCGAACATTTCTGTGCCAAATTTTTCGCCCCCTAAAATCTGCCACTGCAAACTCGGGTTACATGAACCCAGACATATAGTTTAGTGGCAATTCAGGAGCTTACAAATCTGTTTGTGTTCAGACATGTCAGGACTACATTAAGAAATCATATATCTCGTCACCAACATATCCATTCCCATTCATATTGTATATACATTCCCGACGATAACTTCGAGATTCCAGAATCCATTTCGAAACAAGATTCGTACGTCAACTTCCCATCGGAGAAGGCCATGAAAGATGAAGGAGCTTACGATAAGGGTATAAATACCGATCTGAATTTTTCATGGTCTTGATCGAAATGTTTCGACGTATCTGGATTACTATAAAGGATTCATCGTCGATGAGGAGTTCGATTTATCTTATCGTTTGTGAAGTTTTCACATTATAGTTGGGTAGTGTATGAGTAAATTTCTAAGAAATGGCGGCTTTTTCAACAAGACGAAGATATGATGATTCGAATATATTTACAGAGCATTAACGTAGAAACAAAGATGAAAACTATACAGGGTGTCCGGAGATAAAACCGACAAAACTCATGGGGTTATAGAGACTGTCAATATGATTGCAAAATGCCATAAACGAATGTCCAAAACGGCTTCGTTACTGAGATACAGAGTGATTTGTGGATTTTGACAAAAAAATCAATCCGCCATATAAAATACAGGGATTAGCAGATTGAATTCAAATTTGGTACACGAATTACACTGAAAAGCGTCAACAAGTAGCCCTTTGATCGAAACCAATATCAGGACCGGAATAATATTTTTCCCCTATGTTGAGTTATTGTTAGGATAACTCACCCTGAATCATAAAAACCAAAAATTTCAACTCAGATTCGCAATCTACGGTGAAAATTGTATAGGAATTTGTTGAAAAATCTCCTGGCACCGTCTTAGTTATTCCGTAATTGATTATTATTTTGATTTTTTTCATTGAAAAATCAATCATTGTCGGATAAAGTACGTATAGTTACGAAACCATCACATGAATGTCGTTATTTTCATCGATCAGTTCATGAATCGGAGTTAAATGAAATATTCTCATAACCCGAAAAAACTGAAGAATAAATTCGTATCAGGACTGGAATGAGTGTTTTGTTTGGTCATGTTAGCTGACCTAGTACATCAATAGTTATCAGAAATCTGATCGTAGATTCGGAATCTAAAAAAATCGTATAAGAACCTGTTAAAGAAGGATAACAGTGAAGTTTTCGTAAATTATATTCGCTCACTAATGAATTTGAATTTATGAGAATACTACACAACGAACAATAACTGTTTGTAATGAACATAAAAAAAGCAACGAATTCGTGAAAAACTTTCACTACCCAAAATTACAAAACATTTTCGAAGTAGAGCCCTCCAACATCAATACATTTTTGAGAGCGTGCTATTAGATGATTCACTGACTTGCGAATTATTTGAGGGTTATTTGTAACACTAACACATGCAGCAGTAATTTCTCATAAAAAATTTCGTCATTATGAACTTCTTACTTTACCCTCTTTCAGCGGTCTAGTGTTGTGTGTCTCATAAATGAAATGCCATGATAGACCCCTTGGCGAGAAGAAACCTTGTGATCCTTTGTTCTTCCTGGTGTTTTCTTCTATTAAAGTTCCAATTTTGCTGGTAGGCTTTAGGATCAATATGAAATAAAAAACTGTGGTGACTGGCTGTATGGATCATGTCCGAATGCCAAAAAAAAAAAAAAAGATAACTAAGATGGTGCCAGGAGATTTTTCAACAAATTCCTATACAATTTTTACCGTAGATGTCGAATCTGAGTTGAAATTTTTTGTTATTATTATACAGGGTGAGTTATTCTCACAATAACTCAACATAGGGAAAAAATATCATTCCGGTCCTGATATTGGTTTCGATCAAAGGGCTACTTGTTGATGCTTTTCAGTGTAATTCGTGTACCAAATTTGAATCTAATCGGTTAATCCCTGTATCTCATATGGCGGATTGAATTTTTTGTCAAAATCCACAAATCACTCTGTATGTCAATAACGAAGCGGTTTTGGACATTGGTTTATGGCATTTTGCAATCATATTGACAGTTCCTATAACCCCACAAGTCTTGTCGCTTTTATCTCCGGACACCCTGTATAACTTCTGTCGACGAATGAGTAATCATTATTATTTATATCATAATAACTCTGGATTAATCATCTTCGGCAGGTAATTATTTCCTGATAAAACAAAAATCTAATTAACCATAGCCATTATCTGTAGAAAACCGTTCAATTTGACGCCAACCCTACGACAAAACCCATCAATTAGCTGCTGAACAGACCGCAACACACTAATCCCGCCTCGTAAAGCCACTTACTCGCAAGGATCCCAAACGACGATCCCCAATCCGGGACAGTCGACTTCGTTGACGATTTCGCACTCCCTTCTGTCGCACACGCAAGCCGGGGCAGTCAGGCCACCGCAAAATGCGATTATGCCCACGAACGCCAAGGCGATAACACTGTTCATCTTGTCTCCAGATCGACCAATTCTCCTTGGAAAAGTTACATAATGCCAGAAAATGCGTTCCGTCCACTTTATGTCACTTTCTTCACGATGGGCGGCACTTTTAAGAAATGGGCAGCACTTTTAAAAAATGGGCGGCACTCTTAATAAATGGGCGGTTTTGTTAATAAACACCCCAATCACTGCAACTCGGCCAGAAAAGTACAAAGATCTTATGTACAATGGTCACTTGTTCGATGAACTCAAATCAGTTGGAGAGGAGTTTGCCGTTGGAGAGACGTTTTATTAATAATGTTATGTGTTGTGTCCAGTCCACGATACGTCACTTTTGTTGTGATGGGTAGCACTTTTAAGAAATGGGCGGCTTTGTTGATATACACTCCAGTCCCTGCAACTCGTCCACTAAAGTAAAAAGTAGTAGTCTTCAACAGTCACTTGTTCGACGAATTCTTGTGAAGCGGGATATAGCGTAATGTTGGAGATATTATTGCCGTTTTGGAGAGACGTTTTATCGATAATGTTATAAGTTCGCGAAGTTTTGAGTTTAAGCACTGGATGTCACAAAGTTTTAAGCCGAAGGTATTCGGTTCAAAGATTTATCGTAGGTTTTCAAGCGTGCTTAGGCAGAAAATGATAAATGAGCCTCGAGTTGAAAACCACATATTCCGCGGTCTTGGATTTTTGTATCGTCGAACAAATTCGAGGGAAAATAAAGGCGTATTATCACTTGGTTAAAACTTGGCTCATGGATTGTATGAAGAATTATCTTCAGAAATTGCTTATAGATTTATTGAATATTATAAAGAGCTAGCTTCTATGAAAAGTTTTCCCTCAGTTCGTTATAACTGAGAAAAAAGATAGGTGCGTGCTGTGCTGTGTTCCTACTCTGAGAGTGAAGGTGTGATTTAAATTTTGTTTGAAGGACCTTATACTGGGTGAACCAGGATCAAGGAACCATCTATAACTTTGTCAGTTCATAGAATCAAATAACTGAATTCATGAGACATCATGAGACCTAAAAATCTATTTTTGAAATTCAATTTCAATCCGCATGTACTTGAGAAGGTAGAACTTTGGAACTTTAAAATATATTTTACTATTATCCAAGGTCCAGCAACACTGCAAAAGTAATCAATACATTTTCTGAAGCAAACGATCGGGCTTCATTATCAACCTGTGATCGATTAAATGAATATATTTCTATTAAAATGTATGAATATTATTGCCAACTTCATATTATTGCCCCAATTTCAAAAACATCCTGTAAACAAAGTGAGCAACTCATAAAATCCACAGTCGACAACCTACTTCAACTTTTTTCAACATCAAATTGTTCAGGTTGGTAAAGTATATCCAATATCAATTGCAGAATATCTCGCACTGTGCGGCGTCGGCGTGTATGAAGTTTCCTTTGAAGTGACTGCAGGTGCGGCACAAGAATCTGCAATTGTTTTTGGATAAACTATACTTATTTACAAACAAAAATGTAAAAAATTTCAACAAAAAATGAATGGTTGAATTTTCTTGGAGTCATAATTATACTATTTCCTCTTTTTATTGATAATGTCGCCGAATTTCAGATTTTATTTAAAATCTGTAGTAACGCAAGAAATTTTCTGAAATTGAGGTAACTCTTTTGCTACTTTCCAATAATTTTAATTCAAAACTTCTGAATGCAGTGGATTCAAAAATATATACCTAAATAACAGAGAAACCGGCCATGAAATATAGATTTTATAAAAATATTCTCCCATAGTGTGTTGAATGAGTCACACAGTATATAAAAATGTCATGCTGGAGATGCCAAAAATTAATTTTGTATGTTGGTATTCCACTCAAGGCTCATAAAAATCATCAATTATATACGATTGCTACACTACCACTCTTGAGAGAAAAACTCTCAAAAGAAAACTATTTTCCGACGAAATTCTCAACAGCGTCGGATTGTGCACTCCTCTATCAAGTAGGCACCGGAAAACAGACAGTCACGTGTTCGAGTTTCCCGCGAAGCGGAGCAAGTCGAAGCGCTTGTGGAGGAAAACTATGGCATACTGGATTTTCCGCGACCGACAGCGTGTTTCAGCTCTGTCGGAAAATATTCCAGGCGCATGCGTTCACCGTCAGGTCCTCATCGATGGTTCGATGTACGGGGTGATACGTTTTATAGTATCACGCCATTTATAACTTTTCTGTGGCGAATATCATCCATAAAAACTAAAATATTGAATAATCACTAATAACTTATGTCTTATTGAAAAAATTGGCAACATTGCTTTTTAATAGCTTTTTATATGTCAAGGGAGGAAAGGTATACATTTCCTCCCGCGTGTGAAGTTTAGCGGAGGGCATTAATCCTCTCTTGCATAATGCCTACTACAGAGTGGACATGAGGAATAAATAGTAGTAAATAATGGAAATATTAGAGTTGTTTTATCAAAAACGATTTATGGTTGATTGGTTGACAATATCAAACATATTTTGACATATCTCCAGTGTAATCACCTTCTGGGAAAAAAATCAGGTGTCATTCTATACAGGGTGGGCCACCAGTAACGCCTCGGTCTCTAGAAGGCTAACCATTTATCTTCTTGGAATTCTTCCTCTCTAGGAAGTTGCATGTCAACATAGGCTACCATTTGAAATTATTTTGAAACATACAGGATGTCCCCAAAAATCACAAAACACTGAAGATGAACTTTTTTCTATCGAACACCCTATATATTATTTGATTTTGAGATTCTCCCTAATGAGCTGATTTCAACGACCCATCATACTTGGGGTCTAGCAGTTATAATTACTGAAATATATAGGGTGTGAAAAATCGAGATTTTCCAAGTTCAAGAATTTTTTGTGTCGAAACTATTCATAATTGGCCAAACGGCCTACATGTCCCTATTTCAACTTTTGATTAACTATCTACTGATATTTAATTGGGACATATACCGGGTGATCAAGATTCTGAATTCTGCACCACCCTGTATTTCCATTTTCCAGAATTTCCCGATTTCCTTCACAGATTCGTTCATTTCGATATCAAATTAGTCTATGTGAATTTTTTTCAGATTTTTAATATGCCAAATAAAAATTTTCATTTTCCCACCTAAGACTTCCATACGTTATTGTCACCGAGCCATCTTCGGACGGCCGAAAGTGCCAGAAAACGGCAGGAATTGACGCGAATTATCGCTTTTCCAGTAGAAAATGACCTGCTGAATCGAATGAGACCATAATCAGCCCAGTTGGACAGATAGTTTTTGAGATATCGGCGCTCAAAGTCAGCTTTTCGCTTTTTTTGCCAATAGAAGCACTCCGGTAGACTACTACGTCTCCATTTTCCAGAAATTCTCGATTTCCATCACAGATTTGTTCATTTCGATATCAAATTAGTCTATGTGAATTTTTTCAGATTTTTAATTTGCCAAATAAAAATTTCCATTTTCCCACCTAAGACTTTCATGCGATATAGTCACCGAGCCATCTTCACGCGAATTATGGCTTTTCCAGTAGAAAATGACCCGCTGAATCGATTGAGACCATAATCAGCCCCATAGGACAATTAGTTTTTGAGATATCGGCGCTCAAAGTCAGCTTTTCGCTTTTTTTGCCAATAGGAGCACTCCGGTAGACTACTACGACTCCATTTTCCAGAAATTCTCGATTTCCATCACAGATTCGTTCATTTCGATATCGAATCAGTCTATGTGAATCTTTTCAGATTTTTAATTGGCCAAATAAAAATTTTCATTTTCCATACGATATAGTCACCGAGCCATCTTCGGACGGCCGGAAGTGCCAGTAAACGGCAGAAATTCACGCGAATTATGGCTTTTCCAGTAGAAAATGACCCGCTGAATCGATTGAGACCATAATCAGCCCCATAGGACAATTAGTTTTTGAGATATCGGCGCTCAAAGTCAGCTTTTCGCTTTTTTTGCCAATAGGAGCACTCCGGTAGACTACTGCGTCTCCATTTTCCGAAATTTCCCGATTTCAACCACAGATTCGTCTATTTCGATATCGAATTAGTCTCTGTGAATTTTTTCAGATTTTTAATAGGCCTGGGTGACAGTAGGTTATTCCATTGGTTGGTGATTCTCAGAAGAAACTCGAAGTACTAGGTATTTAGTAATATTTGCTCATGTAATATTATTCGGTCGAAGCAAATGTAATTAAACGACTTAAGTTGAATAAAATGAGAAAAATAAGTCGATATTCGCGATAGAAAATAAGTGTCCGCCACCTATCGGAGTTCTTGAAAGCTGTCAAAGCGACATGTTTACTTTGTTTTCATTGGATCACATTTGTTTTTTGTTTGTGCTTATTGGTCACATCATCAAAACAAACCGCTCAGAAGTGTTCGAGTTGTTGCCGTCAGGTGGAGTGACGTGTTATTTTCTATGATCTCTTGATAGAAATAGACATAATCTGAAGTTGATGTGATTGTCATTCTATCTATAAACGTAAAATAAATGTCAGTCTACTCTAATTCTATTCGTTTTCGGTGGTCACTCGTGTTGCCAAATCGGCCATTTTGTGGTTATAGTTCTAGAAATTTCGTAACTCGGCGTGTATACCTATACTCATGATTGCGACCATATTATTATAACTTTCTTGTCATGTAATAGATCTGTTTCATCACCTGGAGTCCACAAAAATAAACCCTTTTTGTAGGTTAGGTTTAAGATCAACGGTACCTATATAAGTTATTATTAGCAATACCTTGAGGACTCCATAGAAATATTCCAACGAAGAAAAACCCAAGAGGATTAGTCTGAATGAATAACATGTCATACCGTTTCGATCAACATACAGAGTGTGGCTCATATTTGGATTCTAATAGATTTTACCAATTTCCCAATATTCTTCATACCTCTCACTTATTTTCGTCTATAATGGTTTGAATCCAAACTTTTGACACAGATTAAGAATAATTGAGGAATAATAAAAAAACGAATCGGGTACATATAGTATATAATAAAATATATTCGAAACACAACATAAACAATATATAAAACAGGACAAACCCATCGGTTTTTGATCAAATATACATAAAATTAATAATCGAAATTGACAAAAATACTGATAAAAGTTCATAACAAATCCATTTTCGGCCACCTCTCAACATTTATTCAACCCTTGGTAGTACCCTGCGAGTACCTCCCAAGCCTTGGGCGCCATGAACCCTTCTGGAGGGCTGACAGCGCTTCTCGCCAAAGATCTCATTTTAGTGCCTGAAATGAACTCAAAGTCCTCTTGCCTCGACGGATCGAAAAATGCCATTCTTTTGTTCTTCTTATCGTACGCTGCAACCCTGGAACATCGAAAAATTACCAATTTTTCGTTTTTAGACCCTTGTCCGACATTTGACATATGGATTTGACACTTCAACATACCTCTTGACAAGAAATTGACAGTCAGACATAAAATTGACAGTTTGGAAGAAATTCCAACATAAAGCAGTTTCAACTGTTGGTCAAATGTCTGTCAAACTGACTAATATCTGTGGAGCTGTCGAAATATTCCATAATCCGAATCAAACTATTCATAATTTTCTTCAAACTGTCAAATCCATGCCAAATGTCTGCCGAACGCCTGTCGAATTTCTGTCAAATGCCATATGTTTCTTGGAGTAATCAATCAAAACATCACGAGTGGATCGCGGCAGTAAGCTGCCGGCATCCGCTGATGGCTGCAGTGCTGCAGACGCTACATTATTATGATCCATACGAGCAGTCATGCTCACCTGAACGGAATGATCTCGATCACCTTGAGCCCCGGCGCCATCTTCAACACCTTCCTGCCGTGCTCGGGATCGGTGGAAGAGCGGTCGAGAAGCGATTTAATTTCGAATTCTTGTCAAATTACTGTCAATTTTGTATCAAATGTTTCTGTCATACGCTGATACTGAAAACTATCAAAAATCTCTTGGACTATCAATTTTCTCTGAATTTTCAGTCATACTGTTGAAATTTTAGTCAGATTTTCATCATTCTTTATCAAAATATGGTAAATGATGGTGAATGTCTAAAACTGTTGAATGTTGAAATGTCAAATGCCTGTCAAACTGACCAATATCTGTTGGGATGTCGGATTCTTCTACAGCCTTCAATCAAACTTGAAACTTCAGTGGGTGCTCAAATTTTATCACAATTAGAATTTTTCGAACTGTAGAATGTTATACTAGTAGAGGGGCTATGGGGTTTCTGGCTCAAGCCAATCAGAGATCAGCATCTAGTTGGAGGCCACACCCAACGTCAAGAAAATGCCACGGAAGTGTCACGGAAACGTCACGAAACATGGGAATGTCATGGAAATGCCACGGAAATGCCAAGAAAATGCCACGGAAGTGTCACGGAAACGTCACGGAACATGGAAATGTCGTGGAGATGTTCCGTGACGTTTCCGTGACACTTCCGTGGCATTTCCATGGCATTTCCGTGGCATTTCCATGACATTCCCATGTTTCGTGACGTTTCCGTGACACTTCCGTGGCATTTTCTTGACGTTGGGTATGGCCTCCAACTAGATGCTGGTCTCTGATTGGCTTGAGCCAGAAACCCCATAGCCCCTCTCCTTATACTGTCAAAGGTCTGTCATCTGAAATTTAAATCAAACTTGTCAGTCAGTGCTAGAATTTCAGTCAGAATGTCAAAATTTCATTAATATATTTAGGATTTCTGTCAAACTGCCAAATCCATGCCAAATGTCTGCCAAATGCCTGTCAAACGCTCAAATATCACGAGTAGATCGCGGCAGTAAGCTGCGGGCTGCTGCTAGATACCCGCTAATGAATAAGTGATGCCCACCTGAACGGAATGATCTCGAGCGCCTTGAGCCCAGGCGCCATCTTCAACACCTTCCCCCCGTGCTCTGGATCATAGAGGTTCCCGTCGGCCGAGCCATCTTTGCCGGCAGGATGGGGCACGCCGGCCGGGTCCCTTCCCACTATGTAGAAATCGGCGCCTGCGTTGAGACGCGCTTTCGCGTGCCACTGCACCTCAGTGGGTCCGGCATACTGCATGGGACTGGGGAAGATGGCGAGAACGGTGGAGGAACGATCTAGTGGCCCGTCGTCGAGGAGGGCCTCGTGTTGGAGGATTCTGGTCGGTAGGGGGACGTCGTCGTCTTTGATCCAGCCACCTGAAGGACGAGGGGGGATGTTTCATGTGGAATCGGTACGGGGTATTGTCGAAATAATACATATAGAGGGCGAGATGTAAGCAAACCAAGAATAGTTTGATAGCAATGTAAAGGATGTTGGCGAATTTAGCTTCACTTTCTTGAGTAACGTATATTCATGGATATTATTTGTCACCCAACCAGAATCTAAATATCAAATTATTGACTGGTTTTTGTTATTATCTTTAACTACTTCTTAATACCAGATTGAATGTTATATTTGCAATAAATAAAGGATAGTGATTGGCACAGGTGTCATTCGATGAAATACAGTGTTTTTACACGCCTTTCGTTAACAGATGACGGTCGGAATTTGCAGCTGGATCTCCTACATTGTGATTGAAACATAATTGGATGATTTATCACAGTAGTAGTATAATATGTACTTTGTTGGAATGTATACCAACTGGCCATTGACCTTGATCGTGGTCCTTTAGCCCATAGTATTCAGAATTTGTGCAGGCTTTGTTACTAACTACATACGCCACTTTAGAAGCAGCAGTTTTAATTGGAAATCAATACTGGATCGTACAGGACTGATAATTTTTCTCAATTTTAGACAGAAAATGTTATTGCAAGATAGGATTTTGAAATGTATTCGAATCATTATTCCTGCAAATCACGAAATGAAATTGCATACCCATCTAATCTAGACATCAATTTGATTACAACAATCGCCCTAATCACCAAAAAATTGCAAATTGAGCTGAAATTTCGAGATTGCCTTTCCAACTGCAAAAAATGGATAGCAAATGTAGATTTGCTATTCATTTGGTAGTGGAGAAATAATTTTGACTAAATTCCAAATTTCAATCATGGAGGGCAAAATTGATGAACACAAACCTAAGGGATGAAGCAACAAAACCGGCTTTTTGTATCCCCTCTCTTGGAGCTGCTTTTTGGTGTCTGTCATCAGCAAGGCGTGTCCGTTGTGGATCGGATTCCTGAGTTGGAAGGCGAACACTGCATCGGCCCCCATACTCTTGAATTTCGCCCGTAACTCGTTGGGAGTTAATCTGTATCGATCGAGACCGTCGTTCCAAGTGATCCTCTGCAACACCTCCAAATCGCCTGAGAAACGAGGATTGAAAGTGTAAAGGCGAATGAATTTAAGTTTAAAAAAATAAAAAAATAGTCTATCGTTTTATTAGGATCAAAAGTGACAATTTGTTTGACAAGCGAATAAATCGAAGTCACTTTTGGTCCTAATAAAACAATCGACTATTTTTTTAGTTTTTTCGCCCCGCAGTGGAAGTGGGTGATTTGCGCGACTGTTGCCTTCCTTGAATGTTATAACCCTATTTGAAACTTTGGTTACGGAACAATTTTAGATTTTGTAGGCGGAACATCATTCACCATTTCATTAGACATTTAAAATTCTAGTGTCGGAACAATTTGGAATTTTGGTGGCAGAACATCATTCACCATTTTATTCGACATTTGAAATTTCAGTGACGGTACAATTTGAGATTTTGGTGGCGGAACATCATTCACCATTTCATTAGACATTTAAAATGTTAGTGTCGGAACAATTTGGAATTTTGGTGGCAGAACATCATTCACATTTGAAAATTTAGTGACCGAACAATATGAAATTTTAGTGTCGAAACAATTTCAGATTTGGCAGGCGGAACATCATTCACCATTTCATTTGACATTTGAAATTTTAGTGACGATTTGGAATTTTGGTGGAGGAATATATTCCACAATTCCGTTCGACATTTGAAATTTCAGTGACGGTACAATTTGAGATTTTGGTAGCGGAACATCATTCACCATTTCATTAGACATTTAAAATTCTAGTGTCGGTACAATTTGGAATTTTGGTGGCAGAACATCATTCACCATTTCATTAGACATTTAAAATGTTAGTGTCGGAACAATTTGGAATTTTGGTGGCAGAACATCATTCACCATTTTATTCGACATTTGAAATTTCAGTGACGGAACAATTTGAAATTTTGGTGGCGGAACATCATTCACCATTTCATAAGACATTTGAAATTTAAGTGACGAAACAATTTGAAATTTCAGTGTCGGAACTATCTGGACTATTGGTGACGGAACATCATTCACAATTTCATTAGACATTTGAAATTTTAGTGACGGAACAATTTGGAATTTTGGTGGAGGAATATATTTCACAATTCCGTTCGACATTTGAAATTTCAGTGACGGTACAATTTGAGATTTTGGTGGCGGAACATCATTCACCATTTCATTCGCCATTTCATTAGACATTTAGAATTCTAGTGTCGGAACAATTTGGAATTTTGGTGGCAGAACATCATTCACCATTTTATTCGACATCTAAAATTTCAGTGACGGAAAAATTTGAGATTTTGGTGGCGGAACATCATTCACCATTTCATAAGACATTTGAAATTTTAGTGACGAAACAATTTGAAATTTTAGTGTCGCAACTATTCGGATTATTGGTGGCAGAACATCATTCACCATTTCATTAGACATTTGAAAATTTAGTGACCGAACAATATGAAATTTTAGTGTCGAAACAATTTGGACTTTTGGTGGCGTAACATCATTCACCATTTCATTCTACATTTGAAATTTTAGTGACGGAACAATTTGGAATTTTGGTGGCTGAACATCATCCAGCATTGACATGATTTTGACACACAAGGTGACTTTTATTGCAACATAAACCCACCTCCGACCAACCAATCTCCAGCCTCGTAAACCATCTTGATATAGGGATGCTCCTTGTTAGTGGTGCCGAATTGTCTGGCCACTCGCTCCTCCTTCCTGTCAATCAATCAATCAATCAATCAATCAGACGTTTTTTTTTTTTAATAATAAAAAATGGAAAAGAATCAAAACATCACTGTAGAATACAAATTCAACAGGTCAAACAATGAAAAATGAATATGTTTATTAAGAAAGTTGAACCATACTTGAAAAAATAAATTGAATAGGTAAAAAACAATAATGAAACTGGACAAATACATAGAAACAACATCAATCATAAAAATATCATTGCATAATAATTTGATCACTAGAATAACTCAATCACATCATAATTCCAGGAGAAACTCATCAAAAGAGTATTATGCTTTCTGCAATAATAATAATAATACAAGTTACCTTTTGAGCACATTAAGATTTTAAGACAATTTCATGTCTTCACTAGATTATTATACAGCTCAACTCCATAGTACATAGATCATGTGATAATACAATACTGCCAATCTACTAGGAGGCAGATGCAAATGAGTAGAATTCCTAGTAAAATGGTCATGAATTTGTTCATTCTTTGGTAGGATTAAGAAATTATTTCTGATATATATGAAAGTTAGGATATACAAACTGGGCAGTTATGATGATGTATGGATAATGGCCTGCAATGATCTCTGGATGGTGCCCATTGGAAGGTGCATAGATTTATTCAGATCTATGGAAGGTGCATTTCAATGGGCACCTTAAAAACGTAGATAAATGGTTGGTAAAAATGTCGCGGGAATAGATGTTTTTTTCAATCAAAAGTTATATTACTGTTGAGAGATACGTATATTCAACGGATTCTTACGAATCGTTAGATAGTTGATTTTAGGTTATTAAAATGTATTTATGTAACATAATGAGCTGACAACGAGGAAAAATTTTCAAGTAACCTATTTTTCACCTATCAACGATCTACCTTGAATCACCGTACCTGTCCCCAATGCTGCCATAATTTGTATTGTTTTTTTTTCTGTGCAATGGGGAAGTTTCCTTAAGACGAATTTTCATAAAATAGGTTCGGAACTCTCCAGTTTTATGTCCACGCTGTACAGAATGGCGACAGATAAAGTCCAAGTCGTTTTCATTCTCAGATTGAAGCAATTTCTAATTTTCGGGGCGGCAAAGTGTGACGTACATTCTGAATCTAGTCTGAAATAGCTGATGGTGAAGAATATAGCTAGTGAATAGCTAACGAATGAAAAAAATAGAAGAAGAAGTAAAACTGGTAAACAAAAACATACATAACCACACTCGGAGCAGGAATGCAGAAGGTAGTTGGCTTCATTCTGACAGGTTATGGTTTTGTTATTTATGCATTGAAATATCTCGAATAGAGCTGGATCCTCAACGAAATCGGCTACATTCAATGATACTATCTTTCCTAATTTCAGAACAAAATGAAGCCGACACCCATGGCTCCTTCTTCTTATTGTGCCTGTCAGTATTTTGCGTGGTGTGCACGGACTCGAAGTATTAGGCGCTGTTGCAAGATATAATCTGCTACTCTCCTAGATAATAGATCCGTTTTATTAAGGAACGAATTCATTAGCAAAAAAATGACTGACAAGTTATGAATAACATATTGTAATATAACGATAGTAAAAAATAATAGATACTATCGCAAAATATCATAATTTATCTTTATTAGTAATCAACTCCATTCAGCCAATGAGAGATTTATGGGAATTATTCATAATACTTGTCAAAGTAGGATTGAAGAACCTATATTATATCCCATTGCTGTTATGATATAGTTATTATGCATTCAAAGAACAATTTCCGGAAATCTAGACATATTGATGATGTCGGCAACGTCGTACTGGCACAGCGATTCATATTTTAACTCTGTGTGAATGTGGATTTTCAGAAAGTACGTTATAGAAATGGTGGAGGAGCCAAGTTCCTCTTTTATTTATTTTTTTCTGAAGTGAAATTTGATCTCACGAAAAAAAAGAGAAAAAATACGTATATATTAATTTTTTACAAACTTCACAGTGAGATGAGAACCTCAATATAGAAAACTTCCCCTGCAATGAACACATCGGGAGATTTGACAGCAAAATCCCATACGCTTTGACAGATTGAATTGAACTGTACCTTTGCCGGTAGAACTCCGGCTTCCGCAAGATGGCGCAGCAAGTCTGTCCGTAATGCAACGCAATGGCGTAAGAGTCTTTCAGTCGGTCCACGTCCATCGACGTTAGGGGCAGCACTATGGGCACGCTTTGGCTCACCGGGTTGCCCTCAGTTTGAATGCAGTTGAAGTGCAGGCATTGCAAGAATTGGTCCTCGCGCATGAAGCCCTTCAAAGGGTATGCCCAACCTTCGCTCAAAATCTGCATAAGCAATAAGTGAAATTGTATCTTTTCAATAACAAATAGTTCTGAGTCGATTAGGGGAATTCAGATTAATAATGAACACAAAGATGGAGAAACTCAAAATCATAGAAAAACTGGTTAAAAAGAGAATATTAGCTCTCCTTTACTCACATAAAATTTTAACCAACTGTTAATTTGGCTTTCAGAATAGGTCGCGTGCACGATGACCGACCCTGGAGGCAAAATATTGAAACACAACCTCATTCTTCTGTGAATTATTGAAACACAACCTCACTTGTTTACTTGGTTACAGAGGAATCAAAGGATTGAAATAGTTTTTCACAATATTTTGGCATACGAATCGTGTTTTTTGCGCTATTCATTAATTCGAGCATGCCTTCGCATTGTTCTGTTGTACAATGCACAAAAAATGCAGCAAGAGACTATAAAGAATATGATTTTTCAGGTAAATAGTAATCTCACATAGTTATCATTATGAAATGTTGTCATTCCTTATTAAAACTCCTTCTGCCTTCTGCCATTTCTGCAATACAAGCTAATACTGCTAATAGATTGAAAATGTCTACAACACACACGATCGTCAGCATGTCAGACCAGTCCTCCCGATTGATTGCATGAATCCAATCTTGCATTATTCTAGAAATTTCAGGTATATTTCTATTAGCTCCTATTGCAGAAGGAATTCCGATGAGAAATCAGAGAAATAACCAAATTTCAAAAATGAAAACTATATGTGAGTGACTATAGTAGGTACTCACTTTTAAATCATAATGTACCATCCGGATTGCTTCATCTTCCGCTGCAGTTTTTGTGCATTTTACAACAGCACAATGTGATGGCATGAGCGAATTGATGAATAGCGGAAAAATACGATTCATATGCCAAAATAATTGTGGAAAACTATTTTGATCACTTGTAAACAAATAAGAAAAGTGACGTTGTGTTTCAATGTTTTGCCTCCAGCGTCGGTCATCTGACAGTTCTTGCACGCAACCCATGCAAAAGGCACAAACTATGCAATTTTTTCCTTTCTTGAACATGTCTACACACATCTCAACGATGGGGAAGTCACAGCTGCAGTATTCTGCGACTTCTCCAAAGCTTTTGATTGTGTAAATCATGAACTTCTTTTGCAAAAGATGAACTGCTATGGCTTTATAGGAGTGTGTAATGACTGGTTTAGGTCGTACATAAGTGATAGAAAATATGTAGTGAAATCAAATGGAAAGCTATCACACACTAGGGAAAACTTATGGGGTGTTCCACAAGGATCAGTTCTTGGCCCGATTCTTTTCCTTATATATAACGACCTGGCTACTCTTTCAATTCAAGGAATTTTGAGGATCTTTGCGGATGACACAACGGTCCTTTTGGCATGGAAAAGATACTGATCGTATGAAAGATACTATATCTGGGGACTTGGATGTTGTTGAAAAATGGTGTGACGCAAACTACTTGAGCTTTAACATCAAAGAAACAAACTTACTCACCTTCAACTCTAATATCAGCAATTTGTACTTGAATGGGCATTTTATTGAGAATAAAAACCAATCCAAATTCCTGGGAATCTTTAATCTTTATTGATAATAGGTTGAAATTTGACCAGCATATTTCAGCTTTAACAAAAAAATTGGCAGCAAAATAATGACTGACAAGTTGTGACTATCATTTTGTAATATGAGGAAAATGGAAAATTATAGATACTATTGCAAACTATCATTGAAAATATCATGAACCTTTATTAGTAAACAACTTCATTCAGCACATAAGATTGTAAGATATTTATGAATATTATTCATAATACTCCAGGAAGTAGGATTAAAAATCTATTATATCCCATTGCTGTTATGATATAATGTGTTCAAAGAACGATTTACGGCGAAGGAGTCAACAATCCAATTCAGCATTGTCAGGCTAGAATTTAAAATTATTTTCTCAAGATGATTTAGATTTATTTTCGATAGTTTTTGGACTAATTTTGTGTCTATAACCCTAGTGGTTGTAGAGCACTTCATAGCTGGGAAAAAAGTTACAAATGGAAAGTGCATCAGTTTTCTGCTATTTAGAGCCATCTATTGGTGCATAATTTTCTGGAATAAACACATTTGAATTGAGAATGAATAGGTTCAAATTGAGAATAATTGATTTCAAAACACAGGGAATGGTATTCAATACGTCTGAGTAACTCATAGAAAATGGCGAAGGAGCCAACAAACCAATTCAGCATTGTCAGGCTAGAATTTAAAATTATTTTTTCAAGCAGATTTCGATTTATTTTCGATAGTTTTTGGACTAATTTGGTGTCTATAATCCTAGTGGTTGTAGAGCACTTCATAGCTGGGAAAAAAGTTACAAATGGAAAGTGCATCAGTTTCCTGCTATTTAGAGCCATCTATTGGTTCATGATTTTCTTGAATAAACACATTTGAATTGAGAATGAATAGGTTCAAATTGATAATAATTGATTTCAAAACACAGGGAATGGTATTCAATACGTCTGAGTACGTCATAGAAAATGGCGAAGGAGCCAACAAACCAATTCAGCATTGTCAGGCTAGAATTTAAAATTATTTTTTCAAGCTGATTTCGAATTTTCGATAGTTTTTGGGCTAATTTAGTGTCTATAACTCTAGTGGTTGTAGAGCACTTCATAGCTGGGAAAAAAGTTACAAATGGAAAGTGCATCAGTTTTCTGCTATTTAGAGCCATCTATTGGTGCATAATTTTCTGGAATAAACACATTTGAATTGAGAATGAATAGGTTCAAATTGAGAATAATTGATTTCAAAACACATGGAATGGTATTCAATACGTCTGAGTGAGTCATAGAAAATGGCGAAGGAGCCCAGCATTGTCAGGCTAGAATTTAAAGTTATTTTTTCAAGCAGATTTCGATTTATTTTCGATAGTTTTTGGACTAACTTTGAGTCTATAACCCTAGTAGTTGTAGAGCACTTCATAGCTGGGAAAAAAGTTACAAATGGAAAGTGCATCAGTTTTCTGCTATTCAGAGCCATCTATTGGTGCATAATTTTCTGGAATCAACACATTTGAATTGAGAATGAATAGGTTCAAATTGAGAATAATTGATTTCAAAACACAGGGAATGGTATTCAATACGTCTGAGTGAGTCATAGAAAATGGCGAAGGAGCCCAGCATTGTCAGGCTAGAATTTAAAGTTATTTTTTCAAGCAGATTTCGATTTATTTTCGATAGTTTTTGGACTAACTTTGAGTCTATAACCCTAGTAGTTGTAGAGCACTTCATAGCTGGGAAAAAAGTTACAAATGGAAAGTGCATCAGTTTTCTGCTATTCAGAGCCATCTATTGGTGCATAATTTTCTGGAATCAACACATTTGAATTGAGAATGAATAGGTTCAAATTGAGAATAATTGATTTCAAAACACAGGGAATGGTATTCAATACGTCTGAGTAAGTCATAGAAAATGGCGAAGGAGCCAACAAACCAATTAAGCATTGTCAGGCTAGAATTTAAAATCATTTTTTCAAGCTGATTTCGATTTATTTTCGATAGTTTTTGGACTAATTTTATGTCTATAAACCTAGTGGTTGTAGAGCACTTCATAGCTGGGAAAAAAGTTACAAATGGAAAGTGCATCAGTTTTCGGCTATTTAGAGCCATCTATTGGTGCATAATTTTCTGGAATGAACACATTTGAATCGAGAATGAACAGGTTCAAATTGAGAATAATTGATTTCAAAACACAGGGAATGGTATTCAATGCGTCTGAGTAAGTCATAGAAAATGGCGAAGGAGCCAACAAACCAATTCAGCATTGTCAGGCTAGAATTTAAAATTATTTTTTCAAGCTGATTTCGATTCATTTTCGATAGTTTTTGGACTAATTTTGTGTCTATAACCCTAGTGGTTGTAGAGCACTTCATAGCTGGGAAAAAAGTTACAAATGGAAAGTGCATCAGTTTTCTGCTATTTAGAGCCATCTATTGGTGCATAATCATCTGGAATAAACACATTTGAATTGAGAATAATTGATTTCAAAACACAGGGAATGGTATTCAATGCATCTGAGTAACTCATAGAAAATGGCGAAGGAGCCAACAAACCAATTCAGCATTGTCAGGCTAGAATTTATAAATATTTTTTCAAGCTGATTTCGATTTATTTTCGATAGTTTTTGGACTAATTTTGTGTCTATAACCCAAGTGGTTGTGGAGCACTTCATAGCTGGGAAAAAAGTTACAAATGGAAAGTGCATCAGTTTTCTGCTATTCAGAGCCATCTATTGGTGCATAATTTTCTGGAATCAACACATTTGAATTGAGAATGAATAGGTTCAAATTGAGAATAATTGATTTCAAAACACAGGGAATGGTATTCAATACGTCTGAGTAAGTCATAGAAAATGGCGAAGGAGCCAACAAACCAATTAAGCATTGTCAGGCTAGAATTTAAAATCATTTTTTCAAGCTGATTTCGATTTATTTTCGATAGTTTTTGGACTAATTTTATGTCTATAAACCTAGTGGTTGTAGAGCACTTCATAGCTGGGAAAAAAGTTACAAATGGAAAGTGCATCAGTTTTCGGCTATTTAGAGCCATCTATTGGTGCATAATTTTCTGGAATAAACACATTTGAATTGAGAATGAACAGGTTCAAATTGAGAATAATTGATTTCAAAACACAGGGAATGGTATTCAATGCGTCTGAGTAAGTCATAGAAAATGGCGAAGGAGCCAACAAACCAATTCAGCATTGTCAGGCTAGAATTTAAAATTATTTTTTCAAGCTGATTTCGATTTATTTTCGATAGTTTTTGGACTAATTTTGTGTCTATAACCCTAGTGGTTGTAGAGCACTTCATAGCTGAGAAAAAAGTTACAAATGGAAAGTGCATCAGTTTTCTGCTATTTAGAGCCATCTATTGGTGCATAATTTTCTGGAATAAACACATTTGAATTGAGAATGAATAGGTTCAAATTGAGAATAATTGATTTCAAAATGAACAATTTGGCAAGGGGAAGCACTATGGGTATGATTTGACCAAGGTTGGTAGAACTGATGATAATTTGTATTAATCATCAATTTTACCAACCTTTATTTGGATGGATGGATGGATGGATGGATGGATGGATTTAACAAATTTTGATGAATATAGATATTGAGCAAACATGTATCTGATTTCAAGATTTTGTTTGTAGTATGTTTTATCTTCAGTATTTTTGTACAAATCATAATGCAATGTTAAATCCTCAGAAATGATCATAAGGTGTAAAAATGCCATGGAGATAATAATTGTGAAATATTTGCATAAGACAATCCTTTCATTGTTAGATAAAATAAAATATCTCTTCAAATAGGTGAATTATCATCAGGACATTGTGCAAATAGTGGTTATACCATTATGTTGACTTTCAATGTCAGGAAATACTTACATTAATTTATTTGGAGAAAGTGAGATAACTATCTAAATAGGTATACCTCAATTGCTCATGTTGATGACACTATAACCAGTACACATTATTGACCTAGAGGATAATATAAAACTATTAAATTAGTAACACAAAATTCTTCACAAACATTAACATAAGGACTTTTTTTTTGTTTAAACACTACATTCATTCCATCTGTTTTGTCAGAATGTGTTAATCTACTAATATGATCAATCATCAGGTATTCATTATACCAGACAATGTGACATGATCAATGTAGTTTCAGCTTTAGTTATTCTATTCCAGATGCCTTAGAAGTGATCTATACAGTACCCCACAAAAATTCATATTATAAGTCACATTTATTGTAGAGAATATTTATTATTTTTATGCTTACTTGTAGCCACTGTAAATCTAACATGGTGATCTGCAACCTAGGTAGAGATTCTGCTTCCTCTAAAGCACCAGCAAGTCTATGTTTTGGTACAAATAACTCTGGTATTCTCTCTTCCTCTTCTTGAATAAAGGGGATTATCCCATTTTCTTGCAACATCTCAACAACCTGCAGAGTAGATTCTTCTACACTGCAATCAACAGTTTTCACTACCAGTTCAGGATGTTCAGGAACTTCATAGGCTTGATCAATGCCTGTGAAACCTATAACACCAAAAAACAAATGGACATTTCAATTCAAGTAACAATAAATATACCAATACCTTTAATGACACCCTTTCTGGCTTTCTGGTACAACCCTTTAGTGTCCCTCTGTTCACACACATCCAAGGGTGTGTCCACAAATACCTCAAAGAACATGAGATCACTATCTCTGTGGATACGTCTGGCCACATCCCTGTCCTCAGCAGAAGGAGAAATGAAGCTGCACAAGCAAATCTGCCCTGCATCAGCAAACAATTTAGCCACCTCTGCCACTCTGCGAATATTCTCCTCCCTATCTTGCTTGGAGAAGCCCAAATCTTTGTTCAAGCCTGTCCTTAGGTTGTCTCCATCCAGGCCATAAGCAGGAATTCCGTGTGATATGAGGTAGGCCTCCAGTTCAAAAGCTATGGAGGTTTTACCTGCCCCTGATAGGCCAGTGAACCAGACAGTACAACCCCTGAAGCCTCTGGGTTGTCCCAAGATTTGTCCTCGTTTGGCTCTCGATACATGGTGCTTTTGTTCAGTCACGTTAGTGGCTACTTGCATGCAAGTTTTCTGTTTTTTGTAAATGTCCTGGGAGGATGACATCTTGGAGAGTGATCAAGCAATGATAGATTACTTTTACTATACTATTGATGATAGCTTTCACAGTAAATGAGGTCAAATGTGGTATGGATAGAGGAGAACCGTACGGGCGCAGGAGTTTTTTTTTAGGAGATGAAAGTGATTACAAGTTATGAAAAGTTTGGCGTTATTCTGGGGATTTGTACCGTTGGTAGATGATTTATGATAAAGTTAATGCACACAGCATACACACTATCAGTATCACAATGAGAATTTTAATTATTATTAATTAAATAAGGATTTTGATAAATCGGGTTTTTTGTTTTTTAAATCATGAAATTTCTTCTTCTTCTCCCTATCCTTATCAGCTTATCACAAAAAATGACTACAAAGTGTCAATGTCAATAGTCAGAAGAAGGAAACCTACGTGAAGTGGGCAGCCAAAGCTGGCTGCCAGAATTTCCGAACTTTCCCGATTGACCAGCGGCACACGTTTCCCCCCTTTTTGGGTAGGGAATATCGAAATTCTTCAATTGCTTCTGTTTGCGGTGATGCAATATATTTATTATCATAATTGCTCATCTCCCTGACATTAAAGAGCAGCTTATCAGTTTTTTGCAAAAGTATGGAAAAATTTTTTTTTAGAAAATCAGTTTTTTTCGCGTGGAGTCTACCATACGATTTCGCAAGGCATTATTTTCTGATAGCATGATTCTACACATAATTACCTATCTTCCTGACACGAAAGCAGCTGAGCAGTTTTTTGCAAAATCATGGAAAAAATATTTTTGAAAAATCTTGTTTTTTTCGTGTGGAGTCTACCCTCACCATACGATTTCGCAAGGAATTATTTTCTGATAGCATGATTCTATATACACATGATTACCGATCTCCCTGACCCAAAAGCAGCTGAGCGGTTTTTTGCAAAAGTATCGAAAATAAAATATTTTTGAAATTGTATAGTCTCTCATGCCTATAATTTGGTAAGGAATGATTATTCTATAGACATAGAAAATGATTCGGGACCCAAAAGCAGCTGTGCACAGTGCTTTCACAATGCTAATTATTGTTTTGTTTTTTTTCACATCTCATCATCGCAAACAGCAGCAGTTGAGAAAATTCGATATTCCCTACCCAAAAAGGGGGGAACCGTGTGCCACTGGTCGTTCGGGAAAGTTCGGAAATTCTGGCAGCCAGCTTTGGCAGCCCACTTCACGTAGGTAAAAAAAAAAGAGCAAGTGTTGCCAACACTAGGTGCGTTCGGTTATAACATATCTGTTAGCTCGATTCCATCTGTTAGCTCGGAAAGCGTTCGATAAATCAGATCTACTTCCTCTGTCTAATCTGCTCCGTGTTCGTTAATTGTCAGAGCGAGCTGAAAGATGTAATCTGTTTGCTCCGCCTTGAGGAGCAGATCATTCAGATTTGATCGGTTATTCGGTTGTCAGTTGTCAACAAATCAATGTCAACAACATGTTATTGAAATTATATCTCTTTTATGTCGAAAAATTAAAGACTCGATCAACTGGAAACGAAACACGAAACTGAATTTTGTAGAATCCTCCTTGCCCAGAATCGCTAGAATAACCGACGAATTTGCTGTAGGTAGCATATTAATTATATATCTGTAATATATGCGATCACAACTGCCCTGGATCCACAGTTAATGACCGATCATATGAGACAGAATCATTCCTTCCCTGGTAATTTTCAAAATATAAACAACAAACATTCAATAGAACTTTGTTGCCCTGACATGTTTTTAAAAGTAATAAGGTTAAGTGAATTGTTTCTGTTTTCTGATATTTCTGACAGCTGGCGCTCGCAATCTACTACCTCCTTGAGCGTTCGTTAAATATCTTTAGCTCTATCTGCTAGGTGATCACGTGACACCCAATCTGCATCTGCTCGCTCGGCTCTGATTTTGTTAAACCGAACGCACCTACTGTCTGCCAATCGTGTCAGCTGTCAGATGTCAGTTTCTTTCTTGTCCATTATCCATTTTGTTGAAAGTTGAAATTCTAGGAAGAAAACGTCATTGGTCAAACCATTCATTCCACGTTCTCGTAAATTCCCAAGATGTTTTTCAATAATAAATGTTTTATATACTAGTTTCAACACATTTAAGTCAAGTTTCTGTTACTGTGAGTAGAAATAGATGAATTCTGAACAAGTGAAATGCCAGGTTTGTTTCATTGTTTTGTCTTGCAACACAGGAAATAGTTGTTTTGTTCCCAAATTCCTAGAATTATTGTTGAAGAAATATCCACTTCTACTAGATTACAATTGGATGAATATTGAGAAACGAAGATAAGAGGTTACCATAATAAGATCTTATCAACTAGATATAAAATGTGGCAAACACAGTCTTCAACTACTATACTAAACAACAAAGAAAACAGCTCTCAGCAGAATGATGACAAGTTAACTACCCTTGGAATGACATCGGCCATATCTACAGCTTTCCCAAAGCCATTAGATTTGTTGAAGACTACTGAGCTAGAAGAAGCACTGAAACCATTTGATGTATTTGAGAGTGAACAAGAACTCAATCATAGAATGCACATACTGGGTAAATTGTATAACCTAGTTAAGCAGTGGATCAAAGAGGTCTCTATCCAACACAATATACCTGAAAGTGTGGCTGAGAATGTAGGGGGGAAAGTGTATACATTTGGTAGTTATAGGTTGGGTGTAAGTAGCTAGTTATGGTATTCTCCTTTGAAGCTGATATTATTGGCTTTATAGGTACACAACAAGGGAGCTGATATAGATGCTCTGTGTGTTGCACCAAGACATATTTACAGAACTGATTTTTTCACTTCTTTTTATGACTTACTCAAAGCTCAACCTGAAGTTAAGGATTTAAGGGTATGTATTGATGAAACAAAGCATTCCAAGTACTATTTTTCATTCCAAAAGATCACTTACATGTTCTAGGTGCATACATGGCAAAAATGGTATAGGTGTCTCAAACAGGAGAAGATTTTTACATAATTTCATGCTTTATTCTTGATGTTTTTGATTTGTTTTTAGGCAGTAGAAGAAGCATTTGTGCCAGTAATAAAAATGAATTTTGATGGAATAGAGATTGATATGTTATTTGCAAGATTACTACTAAAAGAGATTTCTGATTCTATGGATTTGCGTGATGATATGCTATTGAAACACTTGGATTCAAAGTGTGTACGTAGTTTGAATGGTTGCAGAGTTACTGATGAAATTCTGAGGCTGGTACCAAACATTGAAAATTTTAGGCTAGCTTTAAGGACCATCAAATTGTGGGCTAAAAGTGAGTAGCTCTATTTTTTCTGGTGTCAAAAAACCTCCCTTCATACTATTTTAGGGCATGGAATATACAGCAATATGTTGGGATACTTGGGTGGTGTCTCTTGGGCCATGTTGGTAGCAAGAACTTGCCAATTGTACCCAAATGCTGCTCCTTCTACTCTAGTGCACAAGTTTTTCTTGATTTTTTCTAAGTGGCAGTGGCCCCAACCTGTTTTACTCAAGCAACCATCTAGTGTCAATCTTGGATTTGCTGTTTGGGACCCTAGGGTTGGTACTGAATGCTCTTTCTGCTCTCTTTTGTTCTCAACAAATGCATATTCTGATTGTGATTCTGATATAAACAATGACAAGTTGATTATTATCATTTGTTTTTAATCTGACTCAAACAACAACATGCCTAGATTGTTGTGATAATTATTTGATAATCATTTGGGTTCAAGTTCTAATGGTTTCAGATAAGTTTGTCAACAAATTCCCAAACTTGAAATTTCAGTATAGTTTCAAGTCTTTCATTTTCATTGAAATTATATAAAAAACATCCACATGGTTATAAAATAGAACTGCATATTATCCAATTTTTCATTGTTTAGCTCAAAATTAGTTATGCCTTGATTTATCTACATTTGAGACATAGCTTTTAATGTCAATGCAGTTCATAGTTATGGGACTAGACACTAGAAAGTTGAATTACTTGATAGCAAATACATTTAAATCAAACATTGGAAAATATTCTGCATTTCACAATGGGTTAATTTTATACAATTCATTACTGAATGAGTTGAATAATATAGGTAATGCAAGAAAATTCAAAATTGAAATCAATCTCAAGCAATACCTGGTTAGGACATTTTGATTGCAAAATTTATGAATTGTAATAACTTGCATCTTAAGAAAAAGTTTTCACTGAGTGGAATTCATTACTCAAGTTATTATAATTTTTTTGATAGTTATGCATGTATCCCTATTGTTTCTTGGGGTAATAAAAGCAATCAATCAATAGAAATACTGAAAATAATTATGTTTTTAGTTTTGCACTGGTATTTGGAATATGTGATGTTTGATAATTTTTCTAATGAATCTCCATATTTTGACCATTACCTATTCTTGATTTCATTGAAGAGTTACTTATCAGAAAGAGAACAATTATTCATGGAGATTCAAAATCAATCTCAAATAATACCTGGTTAGGACATTTTGATTGCAAAATGTATGGCATGAATTGAATTGTGATAACTTTCATCTTAAGAAAAAGTTTACACTGAGTGGAATTCATTAGTCAATTTATTATGATTTTTTTTATATGTATTTATGTATTCCTATTGTTTCTTGGGGTAATAGAAGCAATCAAACAATAGAAATACTGAAAATAATTTTATGTTTTTAGTTGTATTTGGAAGATATGATGTTTGATAATTTTTATATTGAATTCCTCCATATTTTGACCATTACTTATTCTTGATTTCATTGAAGAGTTACTTATCAGAAAGGGAACAATTTGCTAAATTATGATACACTCTCAGCCTAAAAACATACCTAACTTGTGGTGTTCTGGAGAAACTGGTGTAGGTCCAATTCTTTTTCTCATTAATAAATGACATATTGAAAATAATTCCATGAAGGTTTGAGTAAGTGTATAGGGAATGCTCAAGTAACTCATCAAATTCGATTGTCTTTCATATGGTACAAAAAAATGATAGGTGCCATTTAAGAAAGTTGGGTTTTCGGCAATTTTTCAATCATTCGAAAATCGCCCGCGTCCATATGGTACAAAATAGGACCATCAGGAGTTATCATGAACTTCCAGCTAATTTCACTAATTTGTTGTTCTAATTTTGCACAGCTTGGACTTCCAGCTAATTAAAAAAATAGGTCCAATCGCCCATTCACTGTTTTTTCAAGGCTAAATATAAAAAAAATTAAGCCAATCCTGTTGATTTGGAATGAGGTGATTTTTTGCATATGGAGGTTCAAAAGCATAAGGAACAATAATATGAAGTTAGTTTTCCTGCAAAAAAACATGCCTAATATGATTTCATTGAAATCGACCCCATTTTATTTCAGAATATTGCTCATATTTTCTTATGTTCCCTATTATATTAATGTATTATTGTGATAATCAAACGTGTTTTCGAAAAAAATTTGTCAGAAAACAGTGTGTTTCGAAGAGTTGTTTTTCGAGAATTAGTTTTCGAAAATAAGACTATTCGAAACTTTGTTCTTTCGAAAATAATTGTTTCGGAAAAATTTCCGTTCGAAATTTTTTTGTCGAAAAAAAGTTTTCGAAAAAAATTCCTCGACCCCCAGTAGGCCTTGGTTTTTTAAAAAGTGAACGTCGCTTAGCTCCAGAATACACCTTTCTTCCCTCTACATTGAAAAAAAAATTGTGAAAATCGCTCTATAATTAAAAAAATCTTGGTGGTGACACGTTGTTTGATTGATCACTCTGTGTATTATGTTTGGATTGACAAACCGTATAATTTATCTTCTAAACAAAATCTCAATACACCTTGTCACTTGATCATTACATCATTCACATGATTGGCGCATAGAGAATGTATTGAAAAAAATAGTAGATTGTTTTATTAGGATCAAAAGTGACACTTTGTTTGACAAGCGAATTTTGCATTTGCGAGGCGGAGCGTTTAGCGAAGCCGAGCGAAAGCAAAATTTGCGAGTCGAACAAAGTCACTTTTGATCCGAATGAAACATGCTATTTTTTCTGCAACCGAAACAATTAACTCAAATAAACATGTGAAGTAACTAACCACCAATGCAGTGCCATATGTATGCAATGCAACAAATATTGACAAATAATCCATGTGGTGAGAATATTCTACCTGCATTAACAGCAGGTTAGGTTTTCTAGGATGTTCGAATTGTAGTTTCAATATAAATACAACCACCGAGTGACATATTTGTGTATGGACCAGGTGCTCTAATGGCAAATACCGTGCCTATGGAACGAGACGTGGAAAATGTTAGGTTAGTGAGCATATCAACAATGATAATAGTGATTATTTATTCCTCCAATATACTACACTGTGTTTGACTTGATGATCAAAATGAAGCTAAACAATATCGTTGTTTGAGACAAAAAACTATTGCTTGCCGTGATTATTCAAAAACAAGTTATCCATCCCGAGAATAACGAATGAAATACAGATCAAGCAAGTATTTGAATCTTGAAGGTTTCCCTGATCAAAACAAAAATACCTAACTGAGATGTTTATAATTCCAATGCTAAACTATAATAAAGGTGTATTTATATCTCCAGCATGGGTATGAAATGCCAAATCTGCTGAAATCGTAAACAAATCAGGTATGCGTCTCAACCCAAATAACCAACAGTCACAATGTTGTTTATTCTTGATGACGTCCAGTAGATCCTTTTTAGTTCCTAGGAGCTAAAGTTCAACTTTAGCTCCTAGGAACTAAAATTCAGTTTAGCTCCTAGGAACTAAATATGTTGCCTAGCAACATACCTATTTTTGTGTCAGTAACAGAAACGTCAATTTAAGAGCTAATTTTGGTATCAAAATGGACGACTTTTGTGTCGGTTGCAGAAAAAATACATAATGTTGATCAGAAATGCCTTATCCAACAAACACCCTGTGTACCTCCACATTCTGCCCTCCCAGGTCAACATCCAAGACCGATACCACCTGATGCCGATCATCACTCCCGCCTACCCCCAGCAAAACTCCACCTTCAACGTTTCGACCTCGACGCGGACCATCATGATGGAGGAGTTCAAGCAAGGACTGTCCGTCACCGATGACATAATGAGCGGCAAAACGGGCTGGGAAAGGCTGTTCGAGCCTCCGCCGTTTTTTACCAAGTACAAGCACTTTATCGTGCTGTTGGTTAGCGCTGATAATGCCGTGGATCATCTGGAGTGGTGTGGGTTGGTGGAGAGCAAAGCAAGGATACTCGTAGGTAGGTTCAGACTAAATAACGATAGATATACACCGCTATTCAAACTTAAACGCCAAACACGGATAAATGAATGAAATCGCGAATGGTGGGGATATAAACAGACACTTTTACATTTGCCGGTGGGTGCTCAAACTAAATTACAATAGATGGACACCGCTATGCATTCGTCAATGTTTAAAAAGTATACGCCAACGATCCTTAACGTCAAACATGGATAATGAATGAAATCGCGACTGGTGGGGATATAAACAGACACTTGTACATTTGCAAGTGGGTGCTCAAACTAAATTACCATCGATGGACACCGCTATTCATTCATCGATTCAACGATCCTGCACGTCAAAAACGGATGATGAATGAAATCCCGAATGGTGGGGATATAAACAGACACTTTAACATTTGCCGGTGGGTGCTCAAACTAAATTACAATAGATGGACACCCCTATTCATTCGTCAATGTTTAAAAAGTATACGCCAACGATCCTTAACGTCAAACATGGATAATGACTGAAATCGCGACTGGTGGGGATATAAACAGATACTTTTGCATTTGCCGGTGGGTGCTCAAACTAAATTACAATAGATGGACACAGCTATTCATACATCAATGTTTAAAAAGTATACGCCAACGATCCTAAACGTCAAACATGGATAATGAATGAAATCGCGACTGGTGGGGATATAAACAGACATTTTTACATTATCCGGTGGGTGCTCAAGCTAAATTACAATAGATGGACACCGCTATTCATTCGTCAATGTTGAAAAAGTATACGCAAACGATCCTTAACGTCAAACATTGATAATGAATGAAATCGCGACTGGTGGGGATATAAACAGACACTTGTACATTTGCAAGTGGGTGCTCAAACTGAATTACAATAGATGGACACCACAGAGATGTATAGAAGAAGTCCATGGTAACTCAAAGTGGAGTGGTGTAGTTCATAGATGAAAACCCAAAGTCATCTCCACAACTTCCATAACTTTGCATTTTCTTGGCTGATGATGGGCTTATATAAGCCCGAAACATGTTCCCTTATATGATCTATGATCATTAAATAAAAGTTGTGGAGATGACTTTGGGTTTTCATCTATGGAGATGTATAGAAATTAAACTGGTGCGCTTGCTCCCTATTGAAGGTCGTTTGCAAGTTTCTCGATGGCGCCTACTCTGATAAACCTTTGATAAACATACTTGACGTGGGTAAATCTCGCTAAGCTCATCCTGGTTACAATCCATATTTACAGGAAACGTATTACCGATAAATATTTGGATACGTACATGATTTGGATCAGAGCAGTGAACTAATTTCTGATCAAAGAATCGAAACGTCAATATGTCAAAAATATGATTGAGCTGAAAAAATGGTTATTTTTGAGATTGGGGTCAAGTGTTCGTTAGGGACGTGTTCCGTAGTTTCTAAATTTTGTGTATAATACCTAATCCATCATAGAAAAAAGAAAATCTCTGTTCTACAACAGTATTATTTCAGTGATTTGAAATATTAGCGTGAACTGGTGTGAATAAATTCTGAGGTGAGTACCAGTTACCATATCTGCCTATTGATTTTCGATATTGGTCTATTTCAATAGTTGATACATTCTTTGTTCTGGTTCTTCAGAAAGAAAATTCATCAGATTTCATTCTTTAAATAGGTTCATGTCATGAAAGAAGTGAAGCTTATTGAAATCGGCTACAAAAAAGATTTCTTGCTTCTATTTCAAATTGAAATTTGAATGAAAATGTTGAACACAGTATTTATTCGACCACAGAACAATGATGGAAATAGAGTCATCCTTCACAGAACCAAGGTTTTGAACGATTTTCCGATTATGGCGCCTCTATCGTAAATACCTGAACCCCACGTCCAAAACACGTTTTGCAATTGTTCCATATCGAGAGTTAGTCTGACGAAACAATTGAAGAGTGAGCCCACCAGTTAAATTTCTATACATCTCTGACACCACTATTCATTCATCAATGTTTAAAAAGTATACGCCAACGATCCTAAACGTCAAACACGGATAATGAATGAAATCGCGAATGGTGGTGATAAAAACAGACATTTGCACATTTGCAGATGGGAGCTCAAACTAAATTACAATAGATAGACACCGCTATTCATTCATCAATGTTTGAAAAGTATATATTCTAGTCGTAAGATATAAAGATTATGAGTTTGGTGGATGAAACCCTGTATTTGTTCATCCTTGATAATATCTTGTTTGAAATTCTCTGTATTTCAAGGTAATTTAGAGAGAAACCAATTTATAACGCTGGCACACGTGAATCCTGAAAGTTACTCCATGTTGGAATCAATGGACATCTTAAAAGAGTCCAACACGATATGTTCGATGTGGTTCATCGGCTTGGAATTCGCCAAAACCGAGAATCTCAGCGTGGATTTGACGAAGACCATACATTCGTTCACGGAACACGTCAATAAACATGCTGTACATATACAGGTGAGTGAAGAAATGAGCAAATTCTCATTCCTCTGTATAGTTCATGAGAATTCATTGAACAATTTTTTTATTTTTTTCGTACCTAAAAAATCCAAAAAAGTATGGAACAAGGTAGTCGAGTAAGTGACCTCGAAAATGTTTTTAGATGTTGAAAAGTGGCATGAGACTGGAGGCGAGGCACGTGAAAAGGAAACACCTGTCGCAATACCTGTCACCTGGGTTCATCAAAAGGGACAGGAAGTCGAGCATCACGAAAGGCTCGACGTTGCCGGAGAACAGGAAGCGCGTGTCTTCGGAGGCGCTCGGAGAACCCGATGGCCCCGCCAAGAAGACCAGGTTGTCCGATGAAATCACGCCGCAAGTGAGTTTGGAATATTTTTATTTCGTGATTGGTGTTGAAATCAACATTCCATTACAAGTTATGTAATATTTTACTTTACGCAAGTGGTCACTTGAAGGGCGTTTCAAAACTTCCGTTAAGTCCGTATGACCGTTACCCCCGATATAACAAGGCCTGCAGGGTCCATGGTGACGTCACCTTAGTGAGGCCTAACCAGCGGCTCGAAACGACAAGACCTTATGGCGCTATAAGGCGACCGCGTATTTCAATTCTAGTTTTAGATCATTCTTTCAATACTGATAGGTCGCTGGTTCATATCCGGCTCGAAGGACCAATGTTTTGGCCAATAGTTTGGCTTAGATGTGGCTGCATATTCCAAATTGAACAACTATACATGATGATAACTATACACACAATATACAGAGCATAACTAAATATCCTCCAACAGTATTTGTATAAAATGTAGTATTGAAGAAAAATGTAATGCAATAAGTGAAATAAATATTCTTTGATGAATGACATATGAATGAAGAAAATCTCTCGTAGTTCGACGACAGTTCCAACAACTCTATCAACGACTCGAACAGCAACCTGAGCCTGGCCGATTCGGAGGGCAACGTGACGGGCGGCGCTTCGGTGATTCCGGCAGCCGCCCCACCACCTCCGGAGGCCGTCTGTACCTGACCGCGACGCCTGGAGGCGCCGTGGCGTTTGTCCTTTTAGAAAGCGAGAAAAACTAACAAAAAAAAAACGTAAGGAGCTGGTAAGATTCGGTGGCATTCATTATTGAAAGCAGGGCAAATTAATGAATTTTCATAAAATAAGTTCGGAACTCTCCAGTTTTATATCCACGCGTACAGAATGGCGACCGATAAAGTCCAAGTCGTTTTCATTTTCAAATTAAAGCAAGTGGAGAATATAGCTAGCGAATAGCTAATGAATAGCTAAGGAATGAAAAACGAATGAAAAAAATGGAAGAAGTAAAACTGCAAAAAAACATGCATAACCACAAATGCACTCAGAGCAGGAATGCAGAAGGTAGTTGGCTTCATTCTGACAGGTTATGGTTTTGTTATTTATGCATTGAAATATCTCGACTAGAGCTTCATACTGAACGAAAATATCATTGAATCAATGAATCACTATCGACTACATTCAATGATACTATCCTTCCTAATTTACTGCTATCGGTCAGAACAAAATGAAGCCGACACCCATGGCTCCTTCCTCTTGTTGTGCCTGTCAGTATTTTGCGTGGTGTGGACGGACTCGAAGTATTAGGCGGTGTTGCAGGATATAATCTGCAACTTTCCTAGAAAATAGATCTGGATCTTATTATGGAACGAATTCATTAGCAATAATGTGACTGACAAGTTATGAACAACATATTGTAATATTACAATAGTGAAAAATAATAGATACTATCGCAAAATATAGTTTTTCTTCATTCAACCAATGAGAGATTTATGGAAATTATTCATAATACTTGACAAGGTAAGAACCTATTATATCCCATTGCTGTTATGATATAGCTATTATGCATTCAAAGAACAATTTCCGGAGATCTAGACATATTGATGATGTCGGCAACGTCGTACTGGCACAGGGAATCGTATTTTAACTGTGTGAATGTGGATTTTCAGAAAGTACGTCAAAGGAATGGTGGAGGAGCCCAAGTTTCTCTTTTATTTATTTTTTCCTGAAGTGAAATTTGATCTTACGAAAATGTGGAGTTTGTCAAGGCCAACTATAATGTGAAAAAATATTTTGATAAAATCTATTCGTTTCTGTTTTATACGAAAAAAATAGATTTTGATCATTATCATGTCTCCTCTGTAACTTCTTTATTCATGAAAATACCTATTCAAAATAGGAATTTCACATTCTCATGGCAGTTTTTCAAAGTGATTTCGAAAAAAATATGAAATTTATACCAACTCTTCTTGAATTTGAGATATCAGCACCAACTTCAGTTTTTCAAATGTAGGTCATAGCTCACTATGACTTGGTTACAAATAACTTTTGTTTCTCTAACAGATGATATATCGCAGTAATAGTTTTGTGTTGATAACAACGGAGTTATCGTCATATTTATACAAAAACAAAAAATTATTTGGAAGCCGCCATCTTGAATTTATATATTTTAACAAAAAAGTCATGATCTCCGACCTCAAAAACCTCCATTTACCAATTTCGAATGGAATCGGACCAAATCTTGTCCGCCATCTTGGAGCAGCCATTCAAAAATTCCATAATGTATTGTCACCGAAATTATGAACACCTGCCAAATTTCAAGTTAATCGGAGTGTTACTTATTTTGTTTTAATAGTCTCGATCATGCTTCTGGCGCATTTTTATTCTCAGCTTGCATGTCATCATTCTGGTAAAGTTTAAACCGTAATGTTTCATCACAGCACTGATGAGTTTCCATTTATATTCATTGCATTAACAGGACTAGTTTTTCATGTTCATGCTTGAAATGTTTCATCCTGAGAAATTTTTGTTTATAAACTTGACAGAACGGCGAATCTTGACAGGAATTCGAAGAATTTCTAGGGTTATGATAACAAATGGTTAACTATATTCAAGATAGAGGTCACTAGCTTACTGGAAATACGGTGATTACGGGCGATTTTGGCATATTTTTTCCAATGTACAGAAAATATTATACTCGGGAATAGCCTTTTCCAACCCGCTTTCAATAATTAATGCCGACCTATTCATTTTTTTAATCTACCGTTAAATTGTATCTGTCAGTGTTTTCAGTTTCTTTTTCAGGTTCGACGAATGGTCTGCGTAAAAACATTCACGTACGTATGAAAAAAAAAATATTTCCAAAAAAAACATTGGACGTAAAATATTATCGCAACGGGTGCAATCTTTACTATCCTAAGGTAACGAGAATGCGTGTTTCGTTGTATATGTGGAGGCGAGTGAACATAATCAATAAATTAGTGTAAATAAATTCAAATGTATAGTGAGTTTGTTGGTTTGTCTCATTTATTACGGAAGTCTATTTATTTTTAGCGTATGTTTTAAGCTAGGTTACCGAGATCAAATTATCTATACAGGGTGTTTCATAGGTAAAGGGAAATATTTCAATGGTAGATAGGGGTCACCAACGTGGTTCTGAAAATACCATATTTGATAGGTCTTAGAGTCTTCATAACGGAGATACAGGGCGATTTATCGATTTCGAATAATTATTCATTCGTCCATATGTATTGACCTACCCAGTATATTTTCCTCAAATTTGGTTAGGAGCTTATACTTGGGACGTTAAATTTATTCACCTATCGGGCGGAGTGAAAATCCAGGTTCGGCTTCAGGAAAAATTCACATTTATTCGAAATATTGAAATAACACACTGTATTCAATAATTAACACAGTACATCAAAAGAATTGTGAAGAGGAGGAAAAACTGGATTTTGTATGATGCTTTTTGTTTTCCCGCCACCAATTCTCATCGTAACAATCATAAACAGAAAGTTGAAGGTATTTCAATTTGAAGAGTATTGGGATTATGAAACCAGTGTCAATTATGATTATTTGATATTTCAGTCAAAAAATCGCTCGAAAGAACTCACTAAGTCTCACAGTCTCCATAATAATAATTATAATAATAATAATAATATTTATTTTCCATTAGACACAGATAACATGTATTGGAATCGTCAAAGTACACCTAAAGCTATAAAATACAGTCCACAATGTGAGCAACACCGTTGTTTACAAAATGGTAACAAGAAAAAATAAAATAGAACACAGCACAAATACACTCACATTTTATGAATCATAAAATTCTTGTAAATTATAAAAACATTTTTCAATCAAATAATTCTTCAGCAAGTTACTGAATTTATTATATTATAAAGTCTTAAACTACCAAGTAACATTTTCTCAAATTTGGTAGGTATGTAGCTTACTTGAGACGATAGATTCATTAACCTATCAGGCGGAATGGATATAATACCAAATAATTATAATTCGATAATTCACCCTGTATCTCTGTTAAAAAGACTATGAGACTTTTCCTGAAGCTGAACCTGTATTTCCATTCTGCCTGATAGGTCAATGAATCCATCGTCCCAAGTGAGCTCAATACCAAATTTGAAAAAATATTACTGCGATATGGGTAGTCTAATACTCATATTGACGAGTGAATAATTATTCGAAACCGATAATTCACCCTGTATCTCTTTTATAAAGACTTTGAGACTGAGTAAGTTCTTTCGAACGATCATTTCATGAGAATATATCAAATAATCATAATTGAAAGTGGTTTCATAATTTCAATACTCTTCAAATTGACATACTTTTAGTTTTCTGTTTATGATTGTTACGATAAGAATTGGTGGCGGGAAAACAAAAAGCATCAAATCCAGTTCAGTTTTTCCTCCTCTTCACGATACCTTTGATGAACTCTGTCTATTATTACATACAGTGTGTTATTTTAATATTTCGAATAAATGTAAATTTTTCCTGAAGCCAAACCTGGATTTTCACTTCACCCGATAGGTGAATGAATTCAACTTCCCAAGTATAAACTTCATACCAAATTTTAGAAAAATATACTAGGTAGTTCAATACTTATAGACGAATGAATAATTATTCGAAATCGATAAATCGCCCTGTATCTCCGTTATGAAGACTCTAAGATCTATCAAATATGGTATTTTCAGAACCACCTTGGTGACCCCTATGTACCATTGAAATATTTCCCTTTACCTATGAAACACCCTGTATACTGGGGTGAAAGAGAAAAATACATTTGTGTACCTACTAGGATGGTAGCATGAAGGACATTCCAACCTCATTTATATTGAGGTTAAATTGGTCTTCTCCATTTTTTTCTCAATTTTGGTTTAGCCAACATGAAATTTTTATGATTTTTCGTCCTTGCCCTGAAGACAAAGAGAAGGGGAAGACAGATATTTCTCTACCAAAGCTTGAACTTCTCTATTATTATTGAGCGAATTGTTATTTATTTGGAAATATCACATTGCCGTCCATAAGTAATGCATAAACTCGTCAAAACTTTGGAAAACGACTACAAGTGTTTCATTTTGTTGAAAAACCGAGAGTATTTTTATTATTTTGATATCGCGACTCATAAGGGTAATTTTTGTAACATAGGTATTACCCGTTACCCGATCCTCACGTTAATTTTGAATGAATTTGTCAATTACTTATGAACTCCATTGTATATTCACTGCTGTTATTAGCGTTCATGCAAAATCATCAATTTTGTGGGTATCTATGTATTACTTTCTCAATCACCATGTATATAATAAGAATAAAATATTTATGATCAAGTTTGCGGTAATATTTTACTCATTGTAGATACATATAAATTTTTTATTTAATCTTGTATTTTAAAGTTCCCGTGGAGTTTTGAGCAATACCTAAAAATTTATTTTATTTTTTATATTCGTTTTTCCTGATTTGCAATTTTCTTTGACCAAATTTCAATTGAAATTATTATTATGTTCATGTTTTGAGAACATGGGAATTTCAATTTTCTCTAATTATCTATCAATTTAATGTTGGATATTAAACAATTTTTTATGGACAACATGCTTGATGTGTTGTTTTATTTAATAATAAAATTTGGGGACTTTAGCAAGACAATTCAATATCTTGTATTCTGGTTTGAGATCATAGGAATTTGTACTTATCAGTGTAGTTTCATCTATTAAATTGAAATAAAGTTTTATTTCTCCCCATCTACAAGCGTTTTAATGAATTTCCCCCTGAAATATAAGAACAATAATAATAATAATCTATTCAAATCATTCACATTATATAAATTGGAAGTGTATACAGGGTGATTCAGGTTTTAAGGCACAAACTGAAATGGGAGATACATCTCATCATTTTGATCAAAAAAGTTTACATAAACATAAGTCCGATCTCGTTTATTAGCGGAGCTACAGGGGGTCAAAGTTTAATTATTTTTTTCTATTAATTGAAATGTCTCGCTTACTTTTCAAGATATCGGTTTGAAATTTGGTGTGTTCAATACTTTCTAGAAGATCATCATTTGAAGCCATTTAAAGATTTCTAAATTCTACAGGGAGATACGTTTTTGGGGGCAGAGGCTTCTTTATCCCCCCCAAACTTTTCCGTAGTACGCCTCTGGCATCTTTCAGTGATCAAATTGTGTGGTTCGTTCAATTTACAAGCTTTTTCGCTCTTCCATTTTTTTCGAGAAACAAACCGGTTTTGAGATAAATAAGCATATACGTTCTAAAACATGTTAATTTTGCCTGTTTCGCTTACATTTTATTTTCGTTGAAAATGCAATGAAATGTACTCACTAAAATTGCAATCACGAGTCCAATCTAGATCAGTATTGGGGATACAGATGGTAAAAAGTCAAGGTTTTTTTTTCAGTTGAATAAAATTTAAGTGAAACAGGCAAAATTAACATGTTTTAGAACGTATATGCTTATTTATCTCAAAAACGGTTCGTTTCTCGAAAAAACTTGAAGAGCAAAAAAAGCCTCTAAATTGAACGATCCACATAATTTGAACACTGAAAGATGCCAGAGGCGTATTACGGAAAAGTTTGTGGGGAATAAGGAAGCGTCTACCCCCATAAACGTATCACCCTGTAGATTTTGAAAATCTTTAGATGGCTTGAAATGATTATCTTCTAGGAAGTATTGACCACACCGAATTTCAAAATGATATCTTCACAAGTAAGCGAGATATTTCAACTAATAGAAGAAAATAATTCAGCTTTGACACCCTGTAGCTCCGCTATTGAACGAGATCGGACTAATGTTTATGTAAACTTTTTTGATTAAAATGATGAGATCTATCTTCCATTTCAGTTTATGCCTTAAAACTTGAATCACCCTGTATATTGGACATTGAACCTCATGAAGCAAAACTTATTTTATTTTACAATTTAATACTCTTTCAAATTTCATTGAGTTAGATGAGTTATTGAATTTATTTCAAATATCAGAATATCGAAGTGACATTTAAAAATCATTAAACTCCATCAACGGCAAAGCTTTGGAATTATTTATTATAATAATTATAATAATAATATTTATGCAATGGAAAGTTCTACCTACACGTATAAAAATGTCATATTTAGAATAAATATTGGAAATCAGTACCTACTACTTACGAAGCATCGTTTATAGATGCTTGTTTGCAAGCTTGATAAAAAAAATATTCCTTCCAGGGGAGAATTCCTATTTAAAATATAGGTAAAATAGAAAGATAGTCAAAGTATTTACTTTTTCGTGAGTGTAAAACTAGGTACTTGAAATATAATACATTGTGAAATCCTTCATTGAAACACACGTACATTCAATAAAAATAATTACAATCCTATAATCATAATATAAATTGATGCTAGAAGTTTTTTTTTTCATTCTTTTTCAATCTCCAATAATAGAATGAATCCCTTCGATTGGAGTATTTTGTGTAAATATTTTGATTTCTTTTTTGATTATTAGGAAGAGCTTTTCGTCTTGTAGTGTGTTTGGAAAAATGTTGCAAACGGTAGTATTCCCAAGAAGTTATAACCACCAATAGTTCAACAAAAAGATCCAATACTTTCGAGAAAAAAAATGTCAAAGATGCACCAAAATTGGCTTAAACAATGAACAAATTTGTCTGAAACACCCAGTTTAAAAGAGTTAGGACACAGAAATGAAAATTGTTAGTGATTTTGAATGTTTAGATTACTTAGATCTACTACTGAAAATGATGAAATATTATATTCAGTTATCATTCTGTAGCTGAACAGAAATAGTTATTCCACGCATAAAGAGAAAACAAAAATTTTTCTAATCTTCTACTAGAGTCCGACCACGATAACTTTGGGACAGCACGTGGTCGCGTATGCATTGAATATGCATATGCGTTGCGTCACATGCTGTCCCAAAGTTAACGTGGTCGGACTCTACTGAGGAAGATGAAAAATACTATGCAAACTTCTATTTTGGGTCAAATATCTCGATAAATGTTCATTTCAGCTCAGTAGAAGGTGATGCAGTTTTTCAACATAATTGAACAATTAATTCGAGAAATTGGAAATAATCGAAATTTCATCAGTGGCGTAGAAAATATGGAAGGAAAAGTTATCAAAACCCTCGGTAGCGCACCTCTGGATAAAATTCTCGGAATGTTTTTTTCAATTACCATTGAAAGATGAAACCATATATACCGAATTTGAATGCATTATTTTCAATTTTTCTCGAGATATTGCGAAAAAACCATTTTAATTTCTTAACTTCAACGTCTTGTATCTCGAGAACTGAACACTTGATGTCCCTATCTCATTGATTATGAAATCACGAGGGCTATCACCCAGCCAACCATCGTGTGACATCAATATCTCTGTGTGATGTAACAACCTTGCATAAATGCAATATCTCGTTAACACATCTCGTCGACGTAGATTCGATATCAACGTCGCAAAGTGACATCGCAACCAGGAAACTATGTAATGTGGCAGCACAAGGTAATATTGTAATTATCTCTGAGATAGGAATATTGCAATCTAAAACAAGGTGGATGAAAGATCCCAAGATAATGTAAGTGTATTTGATATGTATCATTTATGAATAATGTATATTTGTAGGTATTGCTATATATCTGTGTCATGTTTTACTTCACTAATTAAGGTGATTATCATGATAAGTTTTGTATCATCTGTTTTTAATTTCGGAAAATAAACATTTTCTTCGTAAAGTTGAATAAATATTATTATTATATATCCCACGAATATCACTGGTACGGCGACCACATCATCGATGTCGCAGTGTGATGTATTTGTAATATGAAATGTACACTCTTGTATGTGACCTGGTAGTGATTTTTCATGTGATGTCGCATTTCATGTCTGAACGACGTCACAGTGATGTTGCTTGAATCGGACATTTTCACATCGCCACGTTGTATCGGTAACATGTTGTGACTTCAAATGCGATATCGCATGTCACAAAGTGATGTGGCGTATACATAATTACTTATACATCTCATGGTTGGCTGGGCACCTGTCAAGCGTTGTCGGTCGAATTTCGCAACACCCTGTATATCTTATTATTCTTTTATTCACTCAAGCATTGTATTTTAGAAAATGGAAAATGATAGAAGTTCTCTGCTGTGTCCCAACTCTTATCTACTGATACCATCCAGTATCCAGTGACTCCAGAGCAGATTCGTCCTTTCTGTCAGAAAATCAACGACTTTTAGCTCTATTGATTGAATAGGCGCGCTTGCGTGTGCCAGCTGGCCAAATGAATTCTCAACTTTGCACCTGCACAACTGTTGCATCCCTTCATTTGGTCCAGTCAGGTACCCTTCGTATAGTGGCGCAGTTAGTTAGTGGTGGAAAATGCAACGAAAAAAAGTCTGCGTCCACTCAGTTGGTCAACGTAGTTATGCAGCATCCCTATGGAGCAATTTAGGATGAACTTGATTTTTTGCAATAGTTAATCGAAAATGAACTTGGTTTTTAGTTTAGCTGGTTTATTTTGTTGTGTTGGTGATGGTGTCTTAGGTAAGTGGAAATTTTGATTTGTCCAAGAGGATTCCTGTTTTTTTTTATTATGTGTAGATCTTGTATTCTCTTGGTGCCGAAAATAATCCTCAAATCAATAGCTACGGAGCGGTTCAAAAACAAATATTCCCGAAACTCACTGATGAATATTATAATATTTTTCCGATTGTTATTCAAATAATTATCAATATGGGAACTGGCTGATCCATTTGAAATGAAGTGATGGATAAGATGAATAACATGAGAAACTATGGAGATATATCATATTTATGGGTTTTTATATTTGTTGATACTCAAATAACAACAATTGATTTTAATTATTCAAAAAATGGGAACTGAAAGTTCTTACTTTCTTTAATTTCATATGGGATGACCCTCTATATATTTTTTCAGGTACTTTATTTTACTCAAAATAATGTTTCTAACGATATACATATTACTGGTTTTTTTCCTACCATTGTTGATTTTTTGAACATTTGTGGAAATTACTTCAACTGCTTTTCATCAACGATTCATTCCATCCACTTTGAGCATCATGGCTATATTTCTTTAGTTGACATACAATTTACGATACAAGGTCAGTAATGGGGGAAATGAGGACAAATTGCACCCGTATCCCCATAGGTATACTACTGTCGTATAAATATGGCGGACCTAGTTCTATTTTTTACCATGGGACATCACCAAAATGGAGGGAAAACCCAGCAATGACTATAGGTGACCATTTACGTTGACTCAATGTAAGTACAGGGTGTCCCAAATTCGAGGGGTATCATTGCGATCTCGGTAACCATAACAGATACAAAGTCGGTGGAATTAGGGAAAAGTTGCGCAATTTGATGTTAATCAAAATGCTGCATCAAAAGTTAGTAAATTTCGAATACTTCCAAAGATATTTGAAAAAAAACGAATATCCGCGATTTAGTTTTTATTTTTTTCTGACTTTATTTGAAGTGATATGACAAAATAAGTCTCATATTATCATTGCCACTTTTTCCGCTATATCCAATATGGTATTGATAGATTTGTGATCCGACATTTCCTTTTCGACTTTATTTTTTCAAATGGTCGTCTAACTTGATTTGGTCTCTTTTACTGAAATAAAATAGAAAGTTATTCCCGAAATTTCTAATTCTAAGAAATTATCTTTCAATGATTTTACTAAATGAGATAGACCAAAATGAATGCAACATTTTCGTAGTCATGTTCCTTCCTTTTCTACAAGTTGCCGTCATCAGATTTTTTATCTGAAGTTTCGTTTTCTCGTAACAATCATCAAATAACTCTGATGATGATTGTTAGGTTCGAAACGTTTGATAATTGTAAAGTGCAATTTGTCGTTAAATTCAGAATTTCAATAAAGTTTTTGTGGTCCCGAAAAAATGTGTTCGACTATGTGAAATGACAAAGTTGATGGTGGCTTCTCGAAGAGGAAACGACGGATCACAAATCTATTAATACTATTGGATAGAGCGAAAAAAGTGGCATTGATAATATGGAACTCATTTTGTCATATCACTTCAAATAAAGTCAGAAAAAAAATGGAAACGAAACCGCGGATATTTGTTTTTTTTTTTCAGATATCTACGGAAGCATTCGGAATTTCCAAACTTTTGAAGCGGAATTCTGATCAGTATCAAAATGCGCATCTTTTCTATAATTCAACCAACTTTGTATCTGTTAAAATATGGTTACCAAGATCCCAATAATACCCCTCGAATGTGGGATAACCGCATGTAAAATATATCATACGGTCCAAAAACGTGAAGAGAATGTAGATATGGCTTTCTTGTTTTCTTTTTCAGAAACCAACTTACATTATTATACATTTCTTTCGAATTGACGTACTCATCGAATGTAAGTCTTTTACACGTCTTATACGTCCTGGGAGGAATGACGTGAATCACACATAAAATGCACGTCTTTAATAAGACGTACACAAATGTACGTTTTTAAGACGTATTTTTATACGTCCTTGGACGAAGTCATAATTTGGACGTAAAATGAACGTTTCAAAGACGTCGTCTGGTGCTGATTGGGTTGTGTGTTTTGAAACTCCGTAGGTACCAGAAATGAAACCACGAAAAAACCCTCCGACGACGACTACTACCTGAACTACGACTACGATCTGGCCAACAGCTCCGCCAACATTGAATTCAAGCCGGAATCCCTGATCCTACCGAACCCCGAAAGTCTTGACTCCAAGTACATTGTTGACACGTTGCCGAACATCGATCTACCCGACGATTCCTTGGCCGACTCTGACCTTCGAGACCATGATCTCATCGACAACATCATGTAAGAATCTTCGAATATCATTTGAACCTTCGAGCGGGCGCGCTGCCGTAAAATTTACGACAAACACGCTTAATAACTTCTCCTACTCTAGTACTTTTGTTTCATGAAAAATTATTCAACATTAACAATTCTATGACAGATTATTTATTATCCATTTCATGTAATGACTTATGCGATAACAAATGAATTACGACTTTATTTAATAACAACATTCAATAGACATTTTTATGAAGACATTTCAATTTGCTTGAACTGCTTGTTGCTACATGAGAAAGCCCTAGCTGCTTGGCATTCATTGTAACTCTAGGTGGTATTAAACGCTGCTCTGTATCCTTTGTGAAGAACTTGGCTTTCTTGAAGGTTAGATTTGAATAGATCCGGCTCGAAGGACCAACATGTTCGATGCTTGATAGATAGTGGACTGTATTTTGTATGGTCATACGTCGTCGAATGTTATCAACGAATGAAAAATCTTCTATACTATATAGGGTAATACAAGCACTAAACTATTCTACAGGATGATTCATTAAGAATAGGAAATCTCTGAACTACGGATAACAAACACTAAAATATTAAGATTCAGTCTAACATGCCTGATAAGAATGTTCCCGGTTTAGGAGATACAGTGTTCTAGGGGGAGATTTTATTTTACAATTTCTCAATAACTTTTTGAGTTTTAGCAGCATGAACATGAAATCTTGTAGTTTCAAATTTTCTGGCAAGAGGAATACGAATTTGCAACTTATTTTGTGATTTCTCATGGAGTCATAACAATAACTATAACAACGCTGGAAATGAGGAAAATTAAAAAAAAATGTTCGTTTGAACACCCTGTATCTGCAACATTTCTATAAAGCATGTAGGGTTGAATTGAATAACTTGATAGGAAATACATTCAAGTCGAACATTGGCAAACAATCTGTATTTCACAATTTTATACAATTCATTACCAAATGAGTTAAAAAATATACGTGATGCAAGAAGGTTTAAAATCACTCTTAAAAAATGATTACTCAGGAAAATTTGAATGAAAAATATGTGGCATGCTTTGATTACTCAGAAATTGGAATTCATTAATTAACCCTCCATTATATTTTTTTATGTATTCATGTATCCCTATTATAAACAGAAACGTTTCTTGGGATAATAAAGACAATCAATCAATCAATTCAAATCTCCGAGTTGTTCTGTTTATTCACTAATCCAGTTTTTTTTTGTTGAAGGTACGTGTATTATGGGTCGCACCATCGAAACGTACCTACCTATGGGCCCGAAATCATCATAGTCGGGTCGGTGCTAAGCTGCGCCGCGCAGCTGCTCACCATCTTCTGTGTGCTGCTGAAGAGGAACCAAAGAGCGGAGAGGATGATGACGTATATCTTTTTCCAGATATTGGGCACCTTCTGCGTATCGAATTTGATTTTTATGTTGGGGGTTTACGTGAGTAACAGAAATGTTGAAATTTATACTTTTTTCGTGATATTACAAAGAGACAAATCGTATTCACAACCTATTTATGCCACAGAACATAAAAAACCTTCTGCTAATGCCATAAGAACATAGCTCATTCATTTACGAGTCGCGCTTTGTCTGTTGGAGCATACGCATATATCTTATTCACTCTCACTTATGGTTGCGAAGACCAAGAGACATGACTCGATATCACCAACGACAGTTTGGAGGTTCCTGCGCATTGAGCAGAAGTGTTTTCAGGCGAGCAATTTTTGGATGACATTTCTGGGTTGCTGAGAACCCAGCGAACACAAAAACATCTCAGAGATGTTAAAAGTACGAGATTTCGAGACATTGCACCTCCACTGCGATGATATGTCACAAACTACCTTCTCCTTAGTTCTTTTCAAAGCCTTTTCATGGACACAACAGAACATTTTCAACGCGCCTTGCGCACATTAAATCGCTGTAAAAAAACATTTTCGAGGTACTTTTCTGAAGCCTTTTGTCAAAATGAACTTTTGCATTAGGATTCCATTTCCCTTGAATGAAAAAATTCATTAAAAATAGATTGAAGATGAAAATATTTTCTTGATATGAAATTACCTTCTTAATCGGCGTCTGAGTATAGTGCTTACTACACACAGACATATATAATTGGAAATAGGTTTCCCAATTTTTGGAACGTTCTCCACAATGCATAATTTTGCAACTGCGGAGAAGCTGTGTATTGATGAATTCGTACTTTTATATATTGATTACAATTACACTGAGGCACCGAACAACACATCTTGCATCTGATGGTCATTATTACAAACTAAATAAGTCTTCTGACACAATAAACTTCACCAAATTCCTTTCTGTTCGTTAGCAGCTTGATGTAAGCGTGACACGCTTCAAACGCGAATGTCAATTGCGAACAAGAAGAACAAAATCGAAAACAAATCAGAATTCATCGTATTGTGACGTAAGCATGAGACGTTGTGGTGGGGCAAACAAAGAAAGGGCACACAAGAACAAAAACAATACTTTCAATATCTAAGACCTCTTTGGGTAGTGCATATTACGCCTCAAAAAAACATCCTCATGCCTACATTTCTAAAACATCCCAAAACATCCCAGGGATACACCTCTCAGTAGGCAAACAATGGAATGCCACAGAAGAACAAAAACAATACTTTAATATCCTTCAAAGACCTCTTTGGTCAGTGCATATTACGTCTCGAAATAACATCTTCATGCCAACATTTTCAAAACATTACAGTGGCCGCAACCCAATTTGAAAGGCTCAAATAAGAGATGGAAACCTACTTTTTTATTTAAAAAAAACGCCAGCTCAGTTTCAGAATTTTGATTATTTTTTCAAATGGAACACCCCACCCCGTATATCATTCTATTTTCAAAATCTCCACATTGACATCTTCGACATTTCGAACGCAATCAAAAACTCGAATGTTGTTTTCAATCAAGTTTTCTGTGGAAAAAACCAAGCGCGACGACTGTTCTTCAAAGCAAACTAGATTGAAAGCCACATATTCGAGTTTTTGTTGGGTTTTGAATGACCAAAATGTCACTATTCAAACGTTAATATTTCGAAAAACATTGAATTCATGAATAAAGTGTATTAGATGAAACTGTTATAAGAATTATATGAGGTGATTTCGAAAATAGTATAATTTGCAAAAAACAAATTATTCAAGATGGCGCTCTGCCGTCATTATAAAACCGCGAGTTTTCGTTTTATCTCCTATTTAAACCTTCCAAAATTCCTTGGTGGTTCAAAAATCAGTAGGGAGACACAGTATAGCGGTCTAGATAGTATAGTTATATCAGTGCCTCTATTTTTTTCAGGCAACGAAAAGTACTACAAAATGCCTGATTATATCATTAATCTTGTATTTTTTGCACCTGATGACCTCTGTTTGGCTATGCTTGTACTGCTTCTACATTTACAAGCGTTTCGCAATCAACGGGCTAGTGAAAGAACGTCACCTCAAAGTCAAATATTTCAATATAGCAGCTTATGACATCCCTACTCTATTGACGCTGGTAAAGTAAAAAATCCCATTAGTGTTCTGCCGAATTCAACAATGCTCGTTTTCAGGCAACTTATTTTCTAGCACCCCACAGCTACGAATCGAAAAGATTCTGTTTCATTTCGGTCCAAAAAGGGATGATACTCAACTACATGCTACCTGTTTCGATCCTGATAGTACTCACGACAATATACTCATTGAGCGGCATACGAAAAATCAACATGGAACTGTCGAAGCTCGAATTCAACAGTTCGGCAGAGTCCCTTAACGCCCTACGCAACGAATTGGAGCTCCTCAAGGACAAAAAGGACGATATGGACGAGGAGGTGCAGAGTCTGAGGGAATCGAAAACTTGCCTGAAATCTTTGTGCGTTATCCAGACTGGGTACGACATCGTTTGGTTTGTGGTCGTTCTGGCACTGGAAAATGTCAATGATAGCAACGGCATGGCTATTATTTATGCCATAACGTCCTGTATACTGGTAAGATGTTCTGTAACACCGTTACTCTCGATGTGCTATAACGCAAAATTGCCAAGTCACCAATTATAAAATCAAGTTATCAAAAAGATGTTTGACTCCTGTCGTTGAATAAAACATAATAGGAGGAACTCATTCTTGACCTTTTCGAGCAACCAGCATTTCCAAATATTTCTCATTCTCCATAACAAAATATCATGTGAATGTTGGAGACTTGGCAACATTGTGCTGAATGCTGAGAACTGACAAGACCACGCCCATAAGTCGTGCGCGGTGTTGTCACGTTCACCGATTCGAATGTTCTCTAGTGTGAATTGGGGAAGTTTCCTTTATTGAGGTTTTCATCTCACTGTGAAGTTTGTAAAAAATTAATATATACGTATTTTTCCTTCTTTTTTTTCGTGAGGTCAAATTTCACTTCAGAAAACAAATGAAAGAGGAACTTGGCTCCCCCACCATTTCTATAAAGTACTTTCTGAAAATCCACATTCACACAGAGTTAAAATACAATTCCCTGTGCCAGTACGACGTTGCCGACATCATCAATATGTCTAGATATCCGGAAATTGTTCTTTGAATGCATAATAACTATATCATAACAGCAATATGGGATATAATAGGTTCTTCATTCCTACTTTGTCAAGTATTATGAATAATTCCCATAAATCTTTCATTGGCTGAATGGAGTTGATTACTGATAAAGATAAATCATGATATTTTGCGATAGTATCTATAATTTTTCACTATCGCATATGGTATTAATTTTCTAGGGAAGTTACAGATTATATCATGCAACAGCGCCTAATACTCCGAGTCCGTCCACACCACTCAAAATACTGACAGGCACAACAAGAGGAAGGAGCCATGGGTGTCGGCTTCATTCTGTTCTGACCGATGGCAGTGAATTTGGAAGGATTGCATCATTGAATGTAGCCGATAGTGATTCATTGATTCAATGATATTTTCGTTTAGGAACGAGCTTTATTCGAGATATGTCAATGCATAAATAGCAAAACTTTAACCTGTCAGAATGAAGCCAACTACCTTCTGCATTCCTGCTCCGAGTGCATTTGTGGTTATGTATGTTTTTGTTTACCAGTTTTACTTCTTCTTCTATTTTTTTCATTCGTTAGCTATTCGCTAGCTATATTCTTCATCATCAGCTATTTTCAGACTATAGATTCAGAATGTACGTCACATTTTGCCGCCCCAAAAATTAGAAATTGCTTTAATTTGAAAATGAAAACGACATGGACTTTATCGGTCGCCATTCTGTACAGCGTGGACATAAAACTGGAGAGTTCTGAACTTATTTTAAGAAAATTCATCTGAAGGAAACTTCCCCATTATTATTTGCACAAATTTATTGTTAAAGCAATAAGCCACAAATCATAAGGAAACATTTTGAGGCAATTGATTTCTTATTGCTAATTAGGAATATTACCAATACTCAATTGAGAATTCATGAATTATTGAATAACTAATATTCTAATATGGTCTGCCCCTACTTACGAATTCGTGCCGTCAGTTTTTACTGGCGGTAAATTACTAGCCGTTTGAAAATTACCGGCATTATTGATGATTTTAGGACTTTAAAAAAATATTAAATTGAAAGGTATGAGTGATTATACTATTCAAGAAAAAAAAATATTCCACTCGCCTTCACCAGCAGCGAAGTTCCGATATAGATCACTGGCACAAATTTTGCTTATCCTTTTATAGAACTGGTACATTTTCATCAAACGAAAAAGCCTGATGCCTTCCCTGAGGGATCTTCCCGACGATATGGAGGAAATAGTGATCAGCAGGGGAGAAGATCACATCGCGACAGCTTCAGCAAACGTCTCCAGGAGAGGGTCTTCTGATAGCATTCCACTTTTGAACTCTGATTCCTGCACCGAAATGCGGGAACTGAGGTTGGATCATATCAGTACCATCAGTGCTTGAATATTTTCAACATTCAGTGCTTGAATATTTTCAACATTTTTGAACGAAAGTTGATCAATTATTCGAACGAAACGAGACCGAATCACAACCAGTTTTATTTCGATTGGTGCTGGTCCAGTAGAATGGATATTACCTTTACTTTTTCAGGAAGCACATCAAGTATACAGTGTGTCCCACTTTTACCATGCTCACCATGGGTATCTTTTTAACGGTGAGAGATACGAGGTCGGTTAAATGACACCAAATGTGGAGTTTGTCAAGGCCAACTATAATGTGAAAAAATATTTTGATAAAATCTATTCGTTTTTGTTTTATACGTAAAAAACAGATTTTGATCATTTTTATGTCTCCTCCGTAACTTCTCTATTTATCAAAATATTCAAATAGGAATATTTCACATTCTCATGGCAGTTTTTCAAAGTGATTTCGAAAAAAATATGAAATTTATACTCTACACTCTAACTCTACAAATAACTTTTTTTTCTCTTACAGATGATATGTCGCAGTAATAGTTTTGTGTTGATAACAACGGAGTTATCGTCATTTATACAAAAACAAAAAAATTATTTGGAAGCCGCCATCTTGAATTTATAAATTTTAACAAAAAATCATGATCTCCGACCTCAAAAACCCCCACTTACCAATTTTGAATGGAATCGGACCAAATCTTGTCCGCCATCTTGAAGCAGCCATTTTCTTTAATTTCAACAAAAATTCCATAATGTATTGTCACCGAAATTATGAACACCTGCCAAATTTCAAGTTGATCGGAGTTATGGAATTTTTGTTGAAATTAAATAAAATGGCTGCTCCAAGATGGCGGACAAGATTTGGTCCGATTCCATTCAAAATTGGTAAATGGGTGTTTTTGAGGTCGAAGATCATGATTTTCCTGTAAAAATTCTGTAAGAGAAAAAAAAGTTATTTGTAACTAAGTCATAGTGGGCTATGACCTACATCTGAAAAACTAAAGTTGGTGCTGATATCTCGAATTCTAGAAGCGTTGGCATAAATTTCATATTTTTCTCTTCGAAAAACTGCCATGAGAATGTGAAATTCCTATTTGAATATTTCATAAATAAAGAATAAGTTACGGAGGAGACATGAAAATGATCAAAATCTGTCTTTTTTATTTTTCCTGTGTATATCAAGTTGAAAATACGAAATAGGTAAACCTTAATTTTCAATAAGACTACACATTTTGGAATGTTTCCAACCCTGAAGTATACTTAGAAGGGGTTGAAATTTCAACCCCTAAGATATTTTTACTTATTTTTTTTATAAAAATTTTCCTTCTAGAAAAACATGACGGAAAAGCCCAATTCACTTACTAACTTTTTTATCTCTAAAAGTTTGCGAAAACGAGCATATAATGAATGTTTTAAAAAAAATTATTCAAAAAAAGTTATAAGAAAAAAATATTGAGTTTTTCAAACCCTTCAAAGCATACTTCAGGGTTGAAAACATTCGAAAATATGTAGTTTCATTGACAAAAAATATTTACCAAGTTTATCGTGTCTTCAGCCTGATATACAGGGGAAAAAAGGAAAAATCTTTTTTTCTGATTTTCAGAAGGGTGTAACTTTTCCGGGGAGTGGTTTTTCCAAAACTTATATAGCAAATACCCACCTGAATTTTCATCATTAAATACCTCCTAAATTTTTTTCGGTGTTATTTAGATACACCCTGTATATTTTATGAGGAAGGGAGGCAATAATCTATGTAAAAACTTCCAATTGGTATACTTCGAAAATAACCGCGCAAGCCCAGATTCTTTCAGCAGATCGCATTAATTCACGTACAGGGTGCGTCTCTTAAAATTGAAACCCTCTCAACTCATTTTTGAGAGATATGAAAAAAATGTCAAATCAAAAACTTACTTCAAACAACCCAAACTTCATCAACCCTGATTTTTTAAACGGAACACCCTATATACTTTTTGACATGTTGATAGAACATTTTTTTCTGATTCTAGAAATATAAATAAGTTGCAAATTTGGATGAGAAATTGTTGTTAATAATTACCAAAACACTACAGTTTAACATGGGTGGCTTTGAAATAATGTTTATTGTTTCAGCTCCATGAAAATGTAATGTTATTGTTCATTATGGAACTAAAATCGATCAATCTCAATAAAAAAATATGTATGGACTGTTTGAATGGAAGATGCAGTATCATAAAAGAGGCTCTATCGAAATATCGAAAAATATATTGGGTGTTACATTGTGAAAATCAGAGTTGTCCTTTTCGGAAAAACTAATGACCCTGTATATAAAACAACTTCACAAAATGAAAGTTTGGGTCGTTTCAAACAACTTTTTCATATGACATTTTTTCGTATCTCCAAAAACAAAAGATTTAAGAGGGGGTTCAATTTTAAGAGACGCACCCTGTACGATACTGTCGTTGGACTGTGTCGTCTGCAAAGCGGGACAGAGTCGGATCTAAATTATCCTTGGGATCTAACAAATTCATAATTAACTTCCAGAGGCCAAAGCTAGAATTTTTCATTGATGAAAAAATTGTTAATTGTCCTAACATAATATAGATAAGTATACACTACATTACTCAAATCTTATACCAAAAGGTCTAAAACTTGATGAACAAGATAGCCCCATTTTGAATTTTAAGAGTTGCATGATAAGTAGTTCCAAACTGAAAGACAATTTTGAAGATATAATACCTACATAATACTATATATTAAATCTTTCATTTCCTCAAGTTGACTGCCAATATCATATTTTCCATTTTATGATAGTATAAGTCTTGTATAGGTAATTAAATTAATCAAAATTGTTTGTAGGAGAAATATCTTCTGAAAATGTGATTTAAATTACAATAGGTAGGTATAAATTTGAAAGTTTATATTTCTTATTACTTATTAATATTCAAATCTCAACTTATTATAAGCATATATTATTATGACCTTATATGGGACCCTCTATATTAAAAAGGGCCAGCTGTTTCAGAAATATTTGTTTTTTGAATATTTATATGATAAAAAACGTGACCTAATTTATTAATTGTTATCTACAATGGAATCATACCTATACTGACTTCAATGATATAATTATAATTATATCAAAAATGTTCCTTGATTTCAATTATAGTAGATTTATTTTTGTGAAAAGGTGTAAAAAGTTAGAACAAGAATTTTATTATTCCATTTCTTTAGAGATGATCATCTGCGCTGTTGAAAATGTGTGATTATACCAGTTAAGACGAAATATTTTTTCATAATTTGATATTCTTTGATCTTATTGGGTGACCTACTCTCGAGTGGGCTACCCGGTATACAGGTTAGGTCACGGTCGATGGTACCTTACACGTTTACGGAGAACTGGACATAGGATCCTTTTGAAAATTTGGATAATCAAGTAGTTGATCTTGGTCTATCGATCTAAAATATTTTCAGCAATGCAGCGTTTCCGCTTATACCAGAAAGTAGTAGCAACTTTGATATTTCAAATGGAACACCCTGTATTTCATTGCACTTTTAGATTTTTCGAAGAGCTGATTCATCACACATGGGGTCTAGCGGGAATGATAACAGAGATCGAGATTTTTCAACTTTGTGATTTTTTGGTGTCGAAACTATTCGTCGGTCAAAACGCGGCTGTCTCTATCTTATCTTTTGATTTACTTTCTACTGACATTTAATAGGAACAGATACAGGCTGATCAGAATTCTGAATCTTGAACCACCCTGTATTTGTTCCAATTAAATGTCAGTAGACAGTAAATCAAAAGTTAAGATAGGAACATGTGAGCCGTCGTGTTGATCGATAATGAATAGTTTCAACTAGGGCTGTGCGATATTGAAAACTTGCGATCGATATTTGTCGATATTGTTAAGAAGTACAAACTCGTTCATTTCAAGATCTTCAATCATAAATGAACTTTTCCATATAAAACATCCAGTAAAGTTTACTTTCGTTCCGGTCAGCGGAGTTCATAGACTTTAGTTCCTGTAATATTTGTAAACCGCTTACCATGCGAAACTACCTAGGTAAGCAATATCGCCAGGTAACGGCCATTCCCATTGCGGAAAATTGCACACCTAGCATCGATTTCAAATATAAATAGTACCCGAATCAATAAGGCATGGCATTATTATTATTAATTCACTCATGATTCATAACTCGAATTCATTTATTCGTCATTCATTATACATATTGGCATACTGGGTATTTGATTTTCGAAATTGAGATAGTAATTCACGAGTTGTTGTCAAAATATTCGCCGTCTCCCCGACTTCGATCCTGCTGCTATTTTTTGATGTGTTCTCTCTGAATTATTTTGTGTTGTTTTATTTGGCAATTCAATATGGTTTTTCTCTGCTAACCTGTCATGTGCAGCATTTATTCATGACTTTCCATTTAATCAATAAATGTAAATTTTATTTGAAAACTGCTTTAACACTTTCGCCAAAGAAACGGTTCTGTGTACAGGGTGATTCACCATAAATGTCCCCCTTTTTTGCGCGCCACTGGTGTTAATTATCTTCAGTAGAAATATCCCTCGTTGCAGTTTAGATGTAGGCTGTTATTGTTTAACTAAAAGGAGCTCATTTTAAAATCAAAACGGAATTTCATAATATGGCGATTTTTCCATAGCAACGCAATTTATCGAAAAAAATTCATAGATGTCTCGAGGTATTGAACCAATCATGCACCCAACATCTAAAAAAAAATTTTAGGGTTCCTCACATTTCCCAAATTATTGGTCAAAAATTTGAAATTTTTTCGGCTCTTAATTCACACTCTGTACAAAGAGAAGGAATCGCAAAAATAAAAACCCGACGCCAATGACGCATAGCCCAAGGATGACGCTTTCTACCTTCGGTTGAAAATCCAACATCGGACAAGAAATGTTCGAGTTATCGCTTATCAAAATTAGTCAACTTTTTGGCTGTTCCACTTCATCTGGTGAGTAGTTTATTTCAGTATCCAAATTTTCAGAATACCATCGATCGTGACCCACTCTGTATATTATTCATCCATTGATTATCTCATGAGTAAAAATTCGATGATATAAATACTTATTTCAGCCGTCTCTTTGTCTTAGATAATTTTGAATTTTGTGATGTTTATCAAGGGTGTACACAGTATGTTACCCTAAATTAAGACAGACATCGGCCTATATCAGTATTATTAGTATTAAGGGATTTTTCTCATTGAAGAAAAAGCACAAACTCTACATGTAGTAGGAAAATTGTAGAAAAATTTAATAAATGTTATATTGGGAAGATTCAATTTATTTCAACATGGTAAAAAAAACGCAAGTTTAAATCAACTGAATGTATTAAAATAAATACATATTCATCATCATATAATTCCTTGTATATCAAAATAAGACAACACTATAAATATAATAGTCACTTCCATTAGTTTAATCTTGCTCAATAACAAATCAATAGTCAATTTTTAAAAAAGATGACAAAGAAAGTTTGTATATACAATAAAAAAAATTCAAAATTATGACATTTCTGAATGATCTGAATCTGAACCTACATTATTTTCTTCTATTTCCTCTTGTTCACTTTCTTCTTCCCACTCATTTTCACTTTCAGAATGGAAGTCCATTTTGAGATCCTCCTCTTCTGATTCACTTGATTCTATAGAAAAAAACATCTCTTGAACACCAACACACTTCAAACAAAGTTCAGTAATATTCAGTAAGATTATTTCACGAATCCACATCAAATGTTTTGGCGAATTAAAAACAAAAAAAAAATCATTCAAATATCATAATAACTTTGATTATTAGACTTAACAAGATGATCCATCCTTATGAGAGCAATGAAGCCAGAAATTCTATTCAGATCCGTAAAGCAGAATATAATCCAAGTTTATTTTTAGACGTTTTTTATGCCAGAAGGAATGTTGCATTGAAGTCGGATTAAAATATTTTTTGATACCTAGATATTTTTTCTGAAACACATGAATTTGATAATGAAAATGTGAACAAACCACTATTTATCACGAAATTTTACCTATTTTTTTGGCCTCTCTTGAATATGCATTTACAGCTACTTGCTCTTCTTATTTTTTCATTGGACACTTTATACAGGGTAATCCACGGTGGATGGCCTATTAGAAGTATCTGGAGAACAAAAAGACAGAACATTCTGAAAATTGGGATGCTTCGATAATTGAACATTCTCTATCCCTCTAAAATATTTGCATCGATACAGTGTTGCCACTTCTATCAGAAACAACTAGCAACTTTTGTTATCTCAAATGGAACACCCAGTATTTTATTGCATTTTTGGATTCTTTCTGAAGAGCTGATTTCATAGATGCGTCACACTTGGGGTCTAGCAGGAATGATTACAGAGATATAGGGTGTTCAAAATCGAGATTTTTCAATTTTGAGTTTTTTTTTGTGTCAAAATTATTCATTATCGATCAAAACGGCTTACATGTCTGCATCTTAACTTTCGATTCATTATCTACTAATATTTATTTGGAACAGATACAGGGTGATCAGAATTCTGAATCTTGAAGCACCCTGTATTTTTTTCAATTAAATTTCAGTAGATAGTGAATCATAAGTTAAGATAGGGACATGAGAGCCGTTTTGATCGATAATGAATAGTTTCAACACAAAAAAAACCTAGAATTGAAAAAACTCGATTTTGAACAACCTATATATCTGTAATCATTCCTGCTAGAACCTAAGTGTGATGCATTGATGAAATCAGCTCTTCAGGAAGAATCTAAAAATGCAATAAAATACAGGGATTTGAAATAACGAAGTTGCTGGTTGTTTCTGATAGAAATGGCAACACTGTATGGATGAAAATATTTTAGACGGATAGAGAATGTTCAATTATCAAAGCATCCCAATTTTCAGAATGTTCTGTCTTTTTGTTCTCCAGATACTTCTAATAGGCCATCCACCGTGGACCACCCTGTATAAAGTGTCCGATGATGAAGAATAAGGGCTAATAGTTACAAATGCGTATTTAAGACAGGCGGAAAAAAAGGTGGAATTTTCAACTTCTTCGTGAAAATATCTTGATAAATAGTGGTTTTTTTCACAGTTTCATTACCAAATTCATGTTTTCACTTTTCAGACAAAAATACATAGGTGTAACAAAGAAAAATCGACAAAATACCCATCATAGCAAGAAAATCATATTTCTAGTTGACTTTCATATTGAAATATGTCATTGAAGTACAGGGCTAGTTTTATTAATGTGAACCCCTCTTAATTTTTTTTTGTTTTCCACCCATAAAAAAAAATTGATAAAGATTTTATGCAATTATTTTTCATATAGGTTCCAATCATAGTGACAGTGTTGCAATATCTCTTCAAATATACAGGGAATTCAGAAAATATGTATACTTTTCAAATGGAATGCACTGTATATTTTGATGTGAATCGCTGCTTATATCATATATTTGAAATCAGGATGAATTGAGGAATCCAAATCTATCAAAATATATGGTGCATTCCATTTGAAAAAAATATATTGTTCTCAATACCCTGTATATCTGAAGAGATATTGCATCATTGTCAATATGAGTGAAATCTGTATGAAAAATTGTATAAAAGCAGCTTTAATTTTTTTTTAATGAGTGTGAAACAAATAAGGGATTCACATTAATAAAACTAGCCCTGTACATCATGATATACAGGGTTATGACATAAGTTACAAAAATAACACGTCAAAGTTGTCAAAGTTATGACGTCATCAACAATTTTTTCTAATGGGAAGCTAAGATTTTTATTACATTATGTGATAGAGCTTGTGTTTTTACACAAGGGAAAAATAGTTGCAGTAGGGCTCACAAAATGTAATAAAAATCTTAGCTTCCCATCAAAAAAATTTGTTGATGACGTCATAACTTTGACAACTGAGAGGTGTTATTTTTGTAACTTATGTCAAAAGATGCGGATAAAAAGAACAGTTTGACGTGTTTTTGCATTTTTTTCAAAAGTGATCGTTGTAGGTTTTATGAATTTTGTGCATTACTTTATCATAACCCTGTATAAATTGTCCAATGATGAAAAAGAAGGGCAAATAGTTATAGGGCACGCGGAAAAATAAGGTGAAATTTCCAACTTTTTCGTGAAATATCTTGATAAATAGTGTTTTTTTCACATCTTCATTATCAAATTCATGTTTTCACTTTCCAGACAAAAATACTTAGGTCACAAAAAACCTCACATGGAGGTGGATCATCTTGTTAGTATAAATAATCCAAGATAAGATCCTACCTTCATCATTGTAAACAAGCAGAGGCTCTTCACTATCAAGAGCCTCTTTGGTACTTCCCCCGCTGACCTGCGGCAGCAAAAGGTCCAACCGGCCTTTTAGCCTGTTCAATGGTGTCAATAAAGCCAGCCTGTTTTCTATGCTGCCCAGTGTGGATCCCAACATTTCTGGCAATTCTGGATTGGATATGAGGACACCTGCATGGACTTGTAAAATGTGCTTCAGCCACAAAGAACCTATGTGACTCCTGGAAAGTGTGATTGCCGAATTTGACATAGTTTCATGTATTTTCTCTGTTTTATTTCTGGGTTATGGAGATATTGGAATGATGAAAAAAATGAGAATAGGTAAGACTCTGTGAGAATGGGATAATCTGATTCACAGAAGTTCAAAATTCCCCAAAAAATGTTGTAAATGAATTCTCAAAACATGACAGTTGAGCAGTTTCAGATGAAATTGAAAAACTCCACTGAATTCCATTGAATTTCAAACCAAATATAATACAAGAACTTTCACAGATAAAGATATAAAAATCTGAAGTTTCAGAAAATTCCTATGGATTCAAATAAAATTCAGAGATTTCTGAGTATTCACACAGAATTCCAGTACAAGAAAAAATTTCAAAAATTACCAAAAATTCCAGTGATTTCTTCAAAGTTCCATGGAATTCTAAGGAATTTCAAAGCATTCCATTGAATTCTGGATACTAGATATATCCAAGATCAAGAATTCCAAAGATTTCTTGAAAGTTCCAAGGAATTCTAATGACTTCTTCAGGATGATTAGGAAGTCAATCAAATTTCAAGGAAGGTTTTCAAGTATTTCCTCAGAATTCCAGTACTACAAGGAAATTCAAAGAACTGTCAAGGATTTCAAAGATTTCTTGGAAGTTCCAAGGAATTCTAATGACTTCTAAGGTATTCCATTGAATTCAGGATGATTAGGTACAAGTCAATCAAATTTCAAGGAAGGTTTTCAAGTATTTCCTCAGAATTCCAGTACTACAAGGAAATTCAAAGAACTGTCAAGGATTTCAAAGATTTCTTGGAAGTTCCAAGGAATTCTAATGACTTCCAAGGTATTCCATTGAATTCAGGATGATTAGGTACAAGTCAATCAAATTTCAAGGGAAAGTTTTCAAGTATTTCCTCAGAATTCCAGTACTACAAGGAGATTCTAAGAATTGTCAAGGATTTCAAAGATTTCTTGGAAGTTCCAAGGAATTCTAATGACTTCCAAGGTATTCCATTGAATTCAGGATGATTAGGTACAAGTCAATCAGATTTCAAGGAAGGTTTTCAAGTATTTCCTCAGAATTCCAGTACTACAAGGAAATTCAAAGAACTGTCGTCAAGGGTTTCAAAGATTTCTTGGAAGTTCCAAGGAATTCTAATGATTTCTGAGGTATTCCATTGAATTCAGGATGATTAGGTACAAGTCAATCAAATTTCAAGGAAAGTTTTCAAGTATTTCCTCAGAATTCCAGTACTACAAGGAAATTCAAAGAACTATCAAGGATTTCAAAGATTTCTTGGAAGTTCCAAGGAATTCTAATGACTTCCAAGGTATTCCATTGAATTCAGGATGATTAGGTACAAGGCAATCAAATTTCAAGGAAGGTTTTCAAGTATTTCCTCAGAATTCCAGTACTACAAGGAAATTCAAAGAACTATCAAGGATTTCAAAGATTTCTTGGAAGTTCCAAGGAATTCTAATGATTTCTAAGGTATTCCATTGAATTCAGGATGATTAGATACAAGTCAATCAAATTTCAAGGAAGGTTTTCAAGTATTTCCTCAGAATTCCAATACTACAAGGAAATTCAAAGAACTGCCAAGGATTTCAAAGATTTCTTGGAAATTCCAAGGAATTCTAATGACTTCTAAGGTATTCCATTGAATTCAGGATGATTAGGTACAAGCCAATCAAATTTCAAGGAAGGTTTTCAAGTATTTCCTCAGAATTCCAGTACTACAAGGAAATTCAAAGAACTGTCAAGGATTTCAAAGATTTCTTGGAAGTTTCAAGGTATTCTAGGAAATTTCAAAACATTCCATTGAATTCCAGATAATTCCAAGGAAATCAATCAAACTCCAAAGAGTTGCATTGTGTTTCCAGTATTTCTAGTGAATTTATTTATCTGGTAGTCCAAAGATATTCTAGAAATTCAATTGAAATCAAAGAATTGAATTGAAGAATTTCAAGGGATCTCAAGTTCTAAGGAATAAGGCATAATACATTCCAAAAAAATTCAAACAATTCCTAGGAAATCTAAAGAATTCCTATGAATTCATAAGGTACTGTTATGAAACTAGGGATTTCAAGGAAACCCCAGTAATCATGTTTCCAGAAAAGGCCCAAAAATCCCAAATTTTGAGGATTTCTAAATAATTTCAAATAATATGATTCCAAGGAATCTCAACTATTCTTTCAGGAATCCAAAAAAAAACGAAAATTTCAAGGAATTTCTCTGAAAGAAATATTCAAAAACCTCAAAGAATTCCAATACATTCCAAAGATTCCAAAAGAATGCCAATGAATAAATGGACTAAACAACAACAAATAATTACATTATTAGCAATCCAAAAGAGTTCTAAGGACAACTATACAATTTGTAGTGATTCCAAAGAATTTCTTGAAATGTCAAATAATTCCAATTGTTTTTACACCAGAAATCCACCCCACATTACCCCTGGAATCAAGTTATACTTACGATAAGGTTTTTCCCTGAATAAAACTACTCAACTCCTGCACCAAGGGCACAAAAACAGTGACAGGCAACCTCTTCACAGTATTCCTGACAACCTGTTCATCTCTCTTGCACAAAGCAGTCCTGAGTATGTTCTTATCTTTGCTGTGGAGTCCTTGCACCAAGAGCTGAGCAACATTATCAGACTTGGGTACTTTTGAACTACTCTCGGATTTATTCAAGGTCAAGTTTTCCAGCCTCTGCTCCATAGGCACTTCAATTTTACCATCATTTTTCCTTTTGGTGTGGGAAATTTGGGATGTGAGATAATGGACATCATCATTCACCACTGGGGTTATGGTTTTAGTATCTTTGTCTTGTTTTGAGACTGCAGGAGCCCTAGGGTCTTTTCGAATGAGGCACTGAAGTTTCTTATAAGAACTGATAAGCTAAAACAAGAGGAGATTTGAGATGAAAATTGAGCTACAAACCACCAATTCCTTTGTTTATTCAACTCTTCATTGCATTCTGAAACTGCCCCACTTACCAGATTCTCAAAAGTAAGTAGAATATCTGTTCCATGACCTATACAGAGTGTTTCTTCATCTCTGTAGATAGCACCCATAATTCTGATTGGAGAGACAACATCATTGGTTTGTCCAGTATCAGTAACCACTTGCACAGTTGTTTTTGGTTTCAAAGGTTTTCCACACTTACTGCAACAACAAAAAATATAGAAAATTGCTGAAATGGAATCATGGAGTTTTTTTTACCCATTAAGAGTGTGTTTGTAAACATGAACAACACCACTTCTTACAGTAGCAGCTATATTTGTGGAACCATCACTTGCTATATTTACAGATATATTCTGTACTATATCTTCCATAAGGAAACTAGCAATTGCATTTTTATCCCTAGACTGTTCACCCAAACTCCAACAGTTGAGAAGTCTGTCACCCTAAAAACTTAGTGTAAATATATCTTGTATCAAAGATATTCACTCTTACTTTGGAACCTGAGATGAAATAAGCATCACTATTGTTTTTAGGAGCCACATACTGAAGGAATATAACTTCTGAACTGTGGCCAGTAAAGGACTTGAGCACCTCTTTAGCATCTACATCCCAGAGTTTGATATTGTTTGCTGCTGTTAATATGTGTTTGCTATCTGGTATTGCAAGGATAGAAAATACTTTTTCATTACCAGCCTTCCATTTACTGCAAGAAAATCACTAGATTCTTCCTGCTTAAAGAAATGAGCTGAGTTTAAACTAACCTGGTAAGTCTCCTTTTTTCAAGGTTCCACACAAAAACATTTTGTTCAGCACCAGAATATATAACATTATTATCAACAGAAGACAAACAACTAATTGGCTGACTTGTTTCACTATTTATGGTATATTCTGAATTTGCTTGAGAAATTGAATAAATCAACAGTAAACCTGAAGAAGTTCCTAGAACTATGTTGGGATCTGAATTCGATTCGGAGTTCCTGCGCTTTTTCTTTTTTGGAGATCCACCCTGAAATATAAAATACGAGTCAAGATTGGATTGAGGTCAACATTTCATATAATATTTTGAGAGGCCACATGGTTACCTTGTATTTGAGTGATTCTGAATGAGTAAAATGTAAACAGGTGCAAGGAGACGTTAAATGGAAATCCGGTGTGAATTCTTGCTCGAACGAATTTGATATCGTATTCCAAATTTTCAATTTTCCATCAGTAGAAATGTGTGCAAAGTATTTTCCATCTTCACTAAACTTGGATGCCATCGCGACCGCCATTAACACATGCTCTAACCTCAATAAATTCAATTTTGACTTTTGGCAATTTCGACCTTCACGACTCATGGTTGCCACCTCAACATTTTGACACTTACATATTAAATATTGCTAACTATCCGTTGGCGTACTATTAACAAAAATGGATTTGATGATTTGAATTTTAATGAAATCTTGGGAAAGAAGGTATTACTATAATGACTTTTCAAAAAAGAAAAGTGCGTGACATAAGCATATACGTATTAATAATCAATACGGATAATCTCTATCTGTTTCCATAGCGAAACATGAAGCTGATTTTTGAAGACAAATGACTATCCATAAGGAAAAGTGAGATAACGATCAGACACATACTGCTTTGATTGAAAGGCTAGTAAACGTCATTGTCCACCGAAACGCATGTCTTTGATGACTACTATAATAGCGCATGGCGCATGCGTATCATGCCACCAAATCCTTATGGATATTCATTTGTTTCATATTTTTGGCTTCATCCTGGCACCCGTTATGATCCGTATTGTTTATTAATACGTATATGGACACAAGGCGCTTCCGTAGTAAAAGAGTAATCACACCAAAACAATCATTTATTGTTGAAGTTTGAAGTGGCTAAAAAGTCCTGGCCACGATACTTAGACACGTCAATATTTGACATTTCTCTTGTTTATGTTTACATTTATGAAAGGAAATTTGATTTCTGATTTCCTGAATTATGGGTGAAAATTACGATGATTGGGATATAGAGTGTTCAGATGAGGAATTCAAAGATTGCAAAGGGCCATGGGAGCCAGGTGTGGAAGAAATAGACCGCTTGTATACAATGCTTCAAAACGGAAAAATGCAAGAGCTACATTGGAAGTGTCCTGGATACAGATCTCCGTCACCAGAATTCGATGAACAAGAAGGCCAAGAAGATTATCCAAAACAGTGGGTATACTTTTCACCTGTAATTACATCACAGTATATTATCCTATACTGTGTTTATACTCATTTTGTTTTCAGACCTGAAGAACAATCTGATTTTGATTTTATGGATGAAGTTACATCTCCAAAGTTGAAAATCAACCGAAATAAAGGAGAAGAAACTCTTAAAGGAAGTGCCAAAAAGAAAACAGCTTCTTTGGATGGTGTTCTCAACAATATGAGGAGACACAATTTATTACCATCAAAAGCCAAATAGCTTTTTCATGCTCATACATTTTCTCTTTCTATATTTTGATGAATTATACAAAACATGATATTGTGTTCATGAAATTGTTAGCTACAGAGGAAAACAATGCATAAGTAGTAGACTGATGTTTGTATTTCAATAGGATTCTTATTGTGAGAATATTTCAAATATGTTTTCATAAAACTAGGCACTAGTAAAATATTTTGATACAGAATAACAAACTATACTCAATCCAAAATGTTTCAAATTATATAAAATAATCAGTTAACACATAGGAATTTATTATTATTCTATAAAATTCAATTGAACTCCTCATAAATAGGTATGTACCTACAGAAATGTTTAGCAGGTTGTAATTTGTTCATGAAAGTTGAAATTATGGATATTTGCTTAGAGGTTGCAAGTGGATTATGAATAGATATCTTACTCAGCAAAGTTCTATAGAGAACAAGAATATGTGAATACTCAAATGACTCAATAAAATAGGATTCCTTCATCTTTGAGGTGCAGGTTTTGGTTTGGGCATTTTACCTAACAATCCTTGAATTTCTTTCTTCTCATCATAAGTCTTCCATAACTCAAACAAATTTATAATATACCTAGCAATTTCTTGAATCTTCTCTATGTCTACATTCAATTCTGCAAACCATGCCTTATGGTCTTTTTGTAAAATTACACAAGCAATTTGGAGACATCCTATGGCAATCTGATATGGTGGATACAGTAAGGAAACATCAGTTCTCAGTGAGTCATTCACAATTCTCCAAGCCAGTGTGAGCAGCTGTTCTTCATGTCCTATGTCCTGAATTAATTGTAGAAGAGGCCTATATGGCTGGTATACAATGAGACAGCAGTCTAAATTCTCTAAGAGGTAGAATTCACATTCTAAAATATGGTTTGTTCTATAAGGGAACTCTTGTGAATAAGCATACCCAAACTTGTTCTTGACTGAAAAAATAAAAATCACAAGAATGAGTAATGATCATGGCACTGTTTTTCAGTACTCACTGACTGTCTGACATGTTGTGATCAGCCTAGAGTTTGATATAACACCAAATTCTTCAACTTTAGAGGCAAGAAAGATGCAAGTGGGTGCTAGTAGAAGGGGGTCTATACATTTCAAGGAATTTCTTGCATAAAATCGTTTGAAATATACTGTTGCTGTAGCTATAACTTGTTGTCTAAGTTTAAGTTGTTCACCCAATGTCTGAATTACTGCAAGAGAATACAATGGAAGGAAGGGTTCAATATTTATGAACAGAACTTACCACTAGAGAAAAAAATAAAAATTTTCTGATATTCATCTTCCTGTAAGATCGCTAAGTCATGTTGTCTTTCTCTAATGAGGTCCTGTTTATCCAATAGCCACTGCTGACTGAAAAAACCAAAAATAGTTGATTGAATATACCACTTATACCAGTCATAATGCCGACCTAAATAAGATATTGGCTCCTACATAACAAAATGATACTTACTGATGTGAACTTTGCCAAAAATTACCAGACATACTAATTAATAATGGAAAAATCTATAAAAATTGAAGTAAAATATTGAAATTGTTAATTTGGTTAAATAGATTCTTCTTCTTAGATTCTGGCAATGGCCTCACCAGTCTTACCACTCATCAGCATCACAAACACAAGTACATAGTTTAACTGAGAACTGAAAAAATTATGCTTTAGAGGCTTTAGGCATAAATGCCAAGTTTGATGAGATAAAGTAGAACTGATAAAATTTGGATCTATTTTTTGTGGAATCTTGACTTTTTTTGTTTTAATAGGTATTAAAAAATCAACACTATGAGATCATAATTTATTAAAAAAAAAAGTTCAGTTCTTGTCTTGTAGAATTGGCTTGACCATGTTCAAATTAATGTCTCAGAATCATGTACTATACTTCAGGCTTTCATTTTCCATTTTAATATATCTGAAACACTTCTCAAAGTTCTCATGGAAGGCTTTTACAACATACTGATCTGAACTAAAAACAATATCCTCATAGTTCTCCATAACTGCTGACCTATTTATGTTCATTGATCCTGTGAATAGGTATCCACTAGAGTATCCACCACTTTCTGAATGGTCTTTTACAATGAATTTGTAATGCATGATACTGGACATCTCTGGTATGTGTGATATGTACATCTGGACTTCTATTCCTGTAAATCACAAACAAATATCAAGGTTTCCCACTATGATTTTGTGATCCAACCTTGTCTTATACATTCTCTAACATTTGACAACATATGAGTATTGTTTACGTGCTCCCTATTCAGCAACATTCGAACTTTAACACCTTTCTTACTAGCTACTATAAGTGCTTCAAATATCTTGTTGATCCCTATCATCATACAAGCAACATCTAAACTCTTTTCTGCAGTATTGATGAAGTAAATCATTGGTTCATACAACACATCTAAACAGTTCTCGTTGGTGATGTCAGGCACTATTCTTCCTTTATATGGGGGCCAACCGCTCATGCCTTTTGATCCGGTGTACATTACCACACAGTCATGTCTTGCATGAAAAATGACCTCCTCATCGTATTGGCGTCTCAAAGATTTATAGACCGAGATGAAATATTTCCACGCGTAATACGGTCCTAATAATGCAGCCGCTGAAGATATTATCAGCAATTTATTACTGAAAACTACATTGAAATTCATTTCAAAAACAAAACAAATATGAAATAACCTCGAAATGGAAATTAAGATCAGAATCAGGAGACATTTGAACTATTTTCAACTAATTGTCACGAAACATCAAATATGTCGAAACAGTCAGAACTGAAAACTGCTAGTCAAAACTGTCAAAAGTCAAAAGTGTAAATAAAGTTGTGTTGGCAGGTGGATTTTCTTTGAAAATCCAATTTTTTTTGTAAATAAACAATGGTAATTCAGTAATCCCATTTCTTATACCTCCAAGAACCTATTTGTCAAACAAGAAAAATGTCTTGGATGAAACTGAACGAAGGACTTAGCAGCTTGAAGGGCCAGATTTCAAATTTTGCAAGCAATGTTCTGGCTGATGATGAAGGTTAACATCGCCCCTTTGTATACTTTACTTAAGTACCAAAATCTCTGTTTATACTTGTAAATAAACTTGGCGAAACATTAATAATCATTGAAAAACAACTACTTTTAACTGATAATTTCTTTTTCCAGATTCTGAAGTAAATAGCAGAGATTTTGAGCAACTAAAACAATTGTGTGTTCAGCAAAAACTAGAGGTGAGTCTCTAAAGCTTCAGATCAGAAAATTTCAATCCTCAGAACCTCAGTTTTTATTTAAATTAAACTATGATGGTTGTGATATGGTTATAGAATTTACCATCATAGTCCCAAGGTGGATCATACACCAATAAATACACCATCATCACCTGCCCCATACACTAGATAATCATCACCTGCTATTTCAACAAAAATAAATAATAACACATCCTTAATAACAGTGACCTTGACTGTTGCCTAGTACAATATGTATTTTTGCACTTTATAATGAGCATACTTAAGGTTTAATAACTATATAGGTGCCTACCTACATTTTATGAGAGTTTTGAATGATTGAGATGTGTTGTTATTGTTACAGATTGATAATTTGCAGAAAATTAATGAGCAGCTCCAAAATGTGAATCAACTAGAACAGGTAAGTTTTTAGCACAGATTTTCATCACTGTATGACATTATGAGTTCCTAAAATACTAGTAAGCAGGTAGGTAGTTGCATTCAAAATGTAGATGCACATATTATAAAACCATTATAGCTCAGTGTTCCTATAGTCATTAATATCTTCCTTTGAAATAGAAAAATTAGGAAGTAGTGATTGGAAACCACCATTTGAACATGATTTGAACATTATCAATGGTAATCTACAGAGAACTCACTAGTATGTGCTGCCCTCTGCAGGATAAATAGGCACCTACTTATGCTTAAATATTCTCTTGACTTGAAACTTAATTTTCTTCATTCTGTAAATGGTAACTCTTATTCAGATGTATATTTCTTGGCCCTTTTTCAGGTATTTTTATATTATTTATTTCTCCACACAGTAGTCATTATTGCTTAACAATAATTATTCTTCCATACTTACATATTAAATAAAAATTATATAATTGAGGAATGTTGCTCAGTTAAAAACTGTGTAATCTATTTTTTTTAGTCATATGGATTTTTATTTTATTTTTGTAATTAATAATACAACTGACAAATAGTGAACAGGGTTTCAGAATACCAAGTTAGGTACTTGATACAGAGCTTTATATGTACCTAGCTTCATACCAGCAACAGTATCTTTTTGTTGTAAAAAAATGATGTTCAAGTCACATGAAATTTGCAGTAGAAAATCTAACCTCAAAAATGGCAACTTCAAAACTTCTCCATACAGACCATGGAACTAGAGCCCTCTATGAGAGTCAGATATAAAAACAATTCACGTGATGTGTCATCTTCCAAAACATAATCATTCAAAATTTAATTGTTTTTTCTACACCTTCTTGAAAACTGATGCTGTTATGAAAAATATTTACTGATCAAACCCAACTTGTGTTCTACCTATCTTAGCAACGGACCCCTTTTTTCCGAGCCTTTTTCTTAAACAAGCTGAATTAACCTACATTTTTGTTCTCACTTATACATGAGAGCTTTTTTTTGTCAGTTTTTTGAGTTGAATTACCTAATGACAACAAAATTCAAATTATAAATGCCAAGTTTACTTCTACTAAAAACAAAGCTCTCTCTCTCTCTCTCTCCCGAATCGAAGACGAGGGAGAATTTTCAAAATATTCCTGTTCGAGAAAAAATTCCCGGATATTAATTGAAGCTAAAGTGGTATTCGGTAAGAAAATTTACATGTTGATGGTTGTTTGTGATGAAATGTAAAATTTCCAAGAAATTCGAATTCTGACTGAAACTGAGAATAGGGGAGACCACTGATTTTTTGAAACGACATTATCGTGAACTCTATACCGAAGAACTACCAGTGAATTAATTTTGCATTTTTTCATTCATGCTAAGACGATGAAAAGAATAAATCAGAATATGTCCATTTCTAAACACACAATTCCTGCGCCATTTGAAATTTTGTCAATTCATTGGTGAGACTGGTGCGACGTCTTAGTCCCAACACGCCTATTGTCCTTGCACTCACCAATCACACTGCAACACTTCAGAATGACGAGGTATCAGAGAGAGATAGCTACAGTGCGGGACTAATACGTCACAGCTCCACCATCATATTTGGCTTTTCGAAATAACGAATGAAATATGCTGATTTCAAAACGATATGGATTCGATTCCCTTCAACTTCAACTCATAATATTGATTGTAGATCAAACGTAAATCATGATTCGTCGATTGAAAGAGGTTTGCACGGATTTCTTCCCTCAGTGGTCTTCCCCATTCTACACCACCCTGTATTTGTTTCAATTAAATACGAGTAAATAGTAAATCAAAAGTTAAATTATGGACATGTGAGCCGTTTTGACCAATAATGAATAGTTTTGACACAAAAAATTCCTAAAAATGAAAAATCTCGATTTTCCACACCCTATATCTCGGAAATCATTCCCGCTAGACCCCAAGTGTGCTAGGTCGTTGAATTCAGCTCTTCAAGGAGAATATGAAGATGCAATGAAATACAGGGTGTTCCATTTGAAAAAATTGATGTTCGATTTTGTGAGCCTTTCTTGCGCCCCTCGTATAAAATATAGTCATTCCTGAAGTTAGCACTCATAATGCGATATGATGTGAAACTATAATATTTTGAAAATTCCTATTTGTTCAGAAGATATTTAACTGTCCCACTGGTCTAAGGACACCCTGTATATATACAGGATGTCCGCTAAAAGGAGGTCAATCCATTAACCATATATTCCTTGAACAAAAAAAATATTAGTTTCTAAATACCATTTTTCATTTTAGCCCTTCATATTCGATATACAGGGTGTCAAAGTTGGAAATTAGAAACTGTTTTTTTCTAATTACTCGCGTATTTAATAAGATATTGATCGCAAAATTGGTACATCACTTCAGCACAAAGAGTAACATGGTGTGAAGAAAACAAAACAGAAAATAACTGTCAAACATTCAAAATACTAGGGGTCAAGTACACACTTACCCCCATATTTTTTTGTACGTGCGCTAATGACTTCCTATCTATTTTTATTCAAGTGTTCAATCATTTTTGAGTATTTTTCGTCTCTTGTAAAATTTTGATAAAATTATTTGTTTTCAAGATAATTCGAAAAGTACTGGTTATTGTTTGATGCCTATGCGGCTTACGGTAATCTCATAATGTTCACATACTACTATTCATTTCTTCGAAATTGGAAGAGGGCGTAACTTTTCACGTACGAAAAGGTGAATGTGGAAATACCGGGTGCTCAGAGAGAATGTATAAAAATAATTTTGAGCCTCCCCCCGTATGGTATGTCGAGCGAACGAACGGGAAATAAAATCGAAAATAATTTCAAAATAATATTTTCGGAAATGTTTGGTGAAATGATAATATCCATGATTTTGCTAACTGCTTGATGAACGAAATAGCAGATCAGGATGGTCTGGGGATGTATGAAAGATTTTGTGTATGAGCCACATATTTTTCAAAGGCTAAGATTTTCTCTAATTAAAAGAGCTCGCATGTGTATTCAAAAAATTGGAGGTCATATCGAGCAATTCATTTAGACGGGTTGAATTTTTATCAATTCTTTTTTGTAAAAATTATTTTGATACATTCGCTCTGAGCACCCCGTATCTCGATATTTACCTTTTCGTACGTAAAAAGTTACGCACTCTTCCAATTTCGACGAAAAAAATAGGAGTATGTGAACATTATGAGATTACCATAAGCCCCATAGGCATCAAACAATAACCAGTACTTTTCGAATTATCTTAAAAACAAATAATTTTATCGAAATTTTACAAGACACAAAAAATCCTCAAAAATGATTGAACACTTGAAGAAAAATAAATAGGAAGTCATTAGCGCACGTACAAAAAAAATGTTAGTGTAAGTGTGTACTTGACCCCCAGTATTTTGAATATTTGACAGTTATTTTCTGTTTTGTTTTCTTCACAGGAGTTAACTCTTTGTGCTGAAGTGATGTACCAATTTTGAGATTAATATCTTATTAAATTCGCGAGTAATTAGAAAAAAACAGTTTTCAATTTCCAACTTTGACACCCTGTATATCGAATATGAAGGGCTAAAATGAAAAATGGTATCTAGAAACCCATATTGTTTTTGTTCAAGGAATATATGGTTAATGGATTGACCTCCTTTTAGCGGACACCCTGTATACTGTTGATGGCTTTTGTTGTGCTATAGTTCCGAAAAATGAGTCAATAATACCGTCCCCGAGAAAGAACTGCAAGTCCTTTTATCTTCCATTCGATTTCGCGGTTACGTATATTACTTAACAACCACTATATTCGCAAATTTTTGAAATCAAATCACAGAATTAGACTGACAGAAGTGACAACAGATATTTGATCACTTCAAAAGAATGATGAAGATGCCTACAACGCAGGTGTCCCTACTGTTGAAAACTTAAAATTTCACGTCGATAATCTTCAGATTTCAAAATAATGTAATATCTTCTCAATATTGATTCGTTCTTTCTTGTGTCACAGAAAAAAATAGTGTATTATAGACGACGGGAAAAATATTAGATTTTAGCTCACGGTTTTTTGACAACACAACCTGGAGCTAAAATCTACTACTTTTTCCCCTTGTATAATAAATAACTATTCCACCCTCTATATTGAAAAAAAAAATCGTTAAAATCGCTCCATAAATAAAAAATGTATGGGGGTGGCATAATTTCAAATGGATCACTCTGTAGGTGTGACTTCGATGAACGATTTTTTTTGTTAATTCGATCGAGTGTACATTTCTCATGGTGATCTATTCTCATTGGTTTTATCGAAAAATTGTCCAGTACAAATAACTGATAAGATTTTTAATCTTTTCATAATGTCATATCCTCTCTCACCCCTTGACAACTGACTTCATGGAAATCTAGTATGCTAATAGCATAATATTCTACTATTCTG